GGGGTCGCCAAAGACCATCGGAAAACACATATTCACTGAAGTTGTGAAGTAGCAATGAAAATAATTGTATGGTGGGGGGTCGCTATAACATGAGGAACTGTATTAAAGGGTTGCCCCATTAGGAAGTTGACAGCCATTGGTATAAGTCAGAGGAAGAGTAAGAGTTCAAGATCATCTGGTAAAGACTATTGTCACAGTTCTATATTAAATACACACAAAATAATGCCAAGCTTATTATACAGAAATACCAGATTCTTGAACAGGTTTTTGCTTAAAATGAGCGGGGGAAGGGACTGTGGTGTTTATCAACGGATAGAGATAGATGAAGGGAAACATTCAAACAGATGCACTTATCAGACGCTTTATGTTACAGTTGTTATGGCTGCCCCTATAAAAACATGTCTGAGAATCAGTATAAAGTCATCTCAAGTGCACTTTACTGTCTGTGGTTAAATGGATTGAACTAACTCATTGTTTGGCTGTGATTAATTTCCCTTTACATGTCATGTTTATGTTTATTCAACGGATCAACATCATGGCACACTGGTGTAACCCATAAGTGCTCCGTTTTACTTCCAACTCAAGCTTGAGTCTGAAGAATTTCAGCGCAGTGCACAAACTCTGCTGCATAGGGGAGGATCCTGAAATACTTTTGGTAGATTTTTAATTCCAGATTTTTGGGGGGCAGCGCCATTAAGCTACTCTTTTTTATTTCAAACTGAAATGAGATTTTTTTTTATTACGTGCGCAAGAATACACACGGGCGTTTAATCTTACTACCCAGATACTTACATGTCAAGATCCCCTGTGGTTAATTCACACCTCTTAGAAAAATAGGACAAACAGCCAGAACAAATATAGCTTTCTGGGCACCAAATTTTGGCTAGGCCAACACTGGAATCCAGGTCATTTTTAAAAATCTGCCTCAGTTAAGGTTTCAACCTAAAATTATTAGTGCCGCTGGCAAGCACACTGGTCACTGCACTATCACAAAGCTTCTTCTTTGGTGGTATGTGATATCAACAATTTTTTCTAGGCATCACTTTTTCCACATTGCAGAAATATACACTGTAATATACACAAGAGAAAACACATTACAAAGTATAAAATAATTCATGTCTCGAATATAAATCACTAGTGTGTTAAAAAAAAACGGAGCACCATGTACATGCATATTGTCATTGGCACTACAACAAAGTCACTTAATATATTGTTAAAATAAAATTGTTAAACAAAAACAGTGAAGGACCCTTTTTTACGCCTTCAGGTGTATTGGGCATATAGGGCTAGACCTATATTTTATAGACCAATTGGCACTTGGTGGGTGAAGTGGTTAACATCATGCTGGCGGACTTTACTTCCCACGACTATACCTGGCACCCACTCAAGGTCGACCTGGGAGCCAAGTAAAGGTCATTTCTGAAAAAATTCTGTCTCCATCAGGCCCTAAACCAATGACTTTCGGATCCGTAGGCAAATGTCTAGCCGCTTCTAGTATATTGTAAAGTGACAGACAAGAGCACCAAAAACGCAGTTAGGTGAAAATTGTCAAAATTTAACTTATGTGACTTTCACATAGTGGCAATGATATAATAAGTAAAATAACAAACAATTAAACAAAAATGACATGGCCGTGCATTGGAAAGAACACTGCAAGGCATAAATACATGGCAAAGCAAACTAATTTCTGTTAGAAATTGCTGGCTGACAACTGCACTTGAAAATTCAAGCAACTAGATTAGTTATTAATTATAATAATTTTATGCTGTGTGAGATGATTGAAAACAGCCGCTGTCTCACCTACTCTGTGAACACTAGACAGCCAGGGTAATAAGTGTGGTTTTATAAATGTCACTTTTCTACCCAAATGACCCCGAGGATTCCCGATGTGAAGAAGCGTTGACTTCATTTTTTTCTTCTTCTGCATTAACCCATAATGGAGCAATCAGCACATCATTGTGTTGTGGTTTACAGCTACACAGATGTAACATAGGACACCTGGTTACTTCCAGCAACTTTACGGCGGCTCAATTTTAACTGTTATATAGGGGTGAATGGGTTGTCCTGGATTTTCTCGTTTGATTTACATCTGAAAAGTGGTCTTTGAGTCACCAGGTGTCAATCTTTCAGACTAATTGCAGAGGAAAAACAAGTTAATTAAAAAAAAAAGTGCAGCACTTGATGGTGCTCACAGACTGACACGTTTATGTATTGAATATCTTCTTCTTCAGCTGTTAACTCTGGTGGAAAGTACTGTTCCAGAACCTGAGTGTTACATGTGCATCCGTTTGACAGATCTAATTTGTGTGCAGACTGTTGGTTCCTTGCCTCTCAGGCAGATGCACTCTGACTTCAAAGGAAGCTCCCAATTAGTCGACTCTTACGACATGCTTTTGAGTAGGCAGTGGGCCTATTCTTGTTTACCCTATAATAGGGCCCCGGAACCCACACGGGGAGTATTGAATATAAATCACTAGTGTGTAAAAAAACAAAAACAAAACGTACAGCATGTATACTCATATCATTGGCACTGCACCAAAGTCACTTAATATATTGTTTTTTTTTAAAGTGAAGAACCCTTTTCATGCATATTGGGCATCTAGGGTTAGACAGCATTAATGCAGTTGATAGGAGACTTGCTTTCAAATCTAGCTGCATTCGCTGCAGCCCACGGTCGGTGTTCGAAACCGGGCAGTTCTCGGAGTTCACCCAGCCACCAGGAAATGGTTACCAGAGCTGACACTCTGGGGTAAATGGAGGAACGTCGCTGTAGCTACAGGGTTGCTTGAGAACGGCGACACAGGTGGACAGTTTTTTTATCAGCTGTCTGTATTGGTGGCAGAGCACTTATGGTTTATATGACGCTGGTTCACATCTCCCGACTTTACCTTTACCTTTTTAGGCTGACACAGCATGAAATCTGTACCTGGAAACCTTTCAGGATGTACAGGTGGTCAGTATGATACAGACCACGTCAGTCACTGCATGTGCTGGTTTATAACAATGTTGGACTAGCACCATATATCCAAAAAGACTCAAGGCATAAAACATTTTCCATTACTTCTTTTTACCGCACACACAAAGAATCCCCCCCCCCCACCCCCAAAGGAAATTCCACAACTTGTGAAAATCATTTAACTTGTATTGTTCTTTTAAGACAACAGGCACTTTTTTGAAAGACTATGATTTTAATGAAAAATACAATATGCTTGCAAAAAAGGGGGCTAAATGCGAAGTAACAATATTTACTGTCTTTATAGCAACACATGAAAATGTTTAATGAAGCAGAGATTCTTACACTCAAGTAAATTTATGAATGTCAAAATTGTATTTTTTTTTCCTCCCTCACAAAAGTACACAGGTCTACAGCCAGGCTATTCAGCTAAGTTTAGCCATTGGCCAAAATGTTGAAAATAGGGATCTTCAAAGGCCAAAGGCACAAAAAGATCACTAATACAATACAACTGGCAATGACCAGCAGGCCGCGCACTTGCTAGGTCTTTGCGGGCCAATTCTGGCCGCCAGTTTAATAGTCCTGGTCTACACAATCACATCTTACAAAATGAAGTTTCAATACAAACTGCATGACAAATACTTTGTATAAAATATTGTGGACAGGCGCCCCAATGTGCTGCAGACATTCTTTCTTCATGCAGTAGGAAAATCCTTAGTCTGGTCTGGCCAGTTAACATTTCGGCAAAAATCAAAATGTACGGATCAGTGGAGGACTTGTGTCGCACCACTGCCTTCACAGATAAAGGGCAGGGAGAAAAAAGTTAGTCACGTCCACATACACAATTCTCTAAACTCATGTGCTGCAAAAGTGGTAAGTCTCAAACTTGTCAAGATCTGTGGGTACGTCTACAAGATTAGAAGCAGCTGCAATGATGTAGCAGCTAGACGCTCACCTGCAGATCCAAAGATGGTGGGTTCAAATCCAAATAGAGCCTGACTTTTTCAAAAATGACCTTGGCTCCGAGGTCAACTCAAGCCTTAAATGGGTACCAGGTAAAGTCATTGGAAGTCAAGGCACCTGGTGTGATGCTGAACAAATCACCCACTGAGTGCCGATCAAACTATAAAATATAGATGTAGCACTATATACCCAATACAAGGAGAAAGCATGGAAAGGGGTCCTTTAGTTTAAAAGATTAGACCTATCCAAACTGGGTCCTCAGTCTGGCCAAGATGATAAGTTTCTGGTAGGTGTAAAGTTTTGGTCCTCCTGGTCTTGCACATCTTGCTGGTTTCTGAACGTGAGAGATGGAAAGATGAATCAAAAGGAATGTCTCCACATCAAACTCTTTTTGATGGCGGCAAATGCCTTCCAGAACTCAGGTGCAGCAGAACCTTACCAAGGGATCTGGCTGATACTTAGCACTCAGAGGAAAGGTAAGATAGTGATAGACAATCAGACTACTACCATTGGAATTAGAACTCTTGTTATGGCTGCTGAATATGGGGATGGATCATTTATAGAAATGTCTTGAGCGATAGAATGTTGGTTCTCAGCTGAACATATGGGCTCATAGGAAAGGAGCAGGATGGAAGGGAAAGTCTTAGAGGTGTCAAAATAAAAAACAATCAACTTAAATTCACTGTGTACCAAATAATTTAAATAAACAATAAATATTTGCATGGCAACAAATACACGGAACAAAGCCAGATAGAAAACTTCCAACAGATAAGTCTAGTGATCTTTCTGGCAAACCTCTACACCCCAAGGTAGAAGAGGAGCGACTAAGTAAGTAAGTATGGTAACAAATACAGGTAAACATATGTGTACCTATAACTGCTATTTTACCCAATGAATGACCACAAATATATTTTGGACACTCAACATATGTTGTACTGTTCTAAAGAAAACTTTCTTCTTTTCTTTCTAGCATTCAGAGGGTGCAATTTATTCATAAAACAGTTAAAAATTATTAACAGAAAAACGCTAACAGATTATTTTATAATCCATCATAACAATAAAACAAAATACATCTATACACTTATTAACCAACCGTAAGGCTTAAGGTAATAATGATTCCAATAATCACAAGTATCACCAAGATAATAATTATTATACAACACTTCTTTCTACGAGCTCTTGCTTGATATTTTTTTGTTATGATTAGTTCTTTATTCCCAGACTCCACATGTGTTGCTGCATTATCAACGGCACTTTCGATTGTGGTTAGTTTCTCCCCCTGGCTGGACACTAGCAAGTTCATCTCTTTAAATAACAAGTTCACATCTGTCACACTCTTCTCCAGTGCTAGAATATCTTTCTTGCGATCATCAAGATCACGAAGTGTTTGTTCAACATCGTGAACATCTGCGATATAATTGTCTGTGAACACGGAATAGAAATCATGATCCAGAACAGCATTTATTTTTGAATCATCCACACCAGAGTCCCCGCGAGCACTAAGCTGTCTTCGTAAACGCGATTTCATTTTGTCCATATACCCAGCCTGAATTTTGAAATAGTCATTTGTTGCTATGTTGAGTTCAGCGGCAAGTGTATTCAGCTGCTGTATGCGAACACGTTTAAAAGCACTGCTATCAGGGAGGTCTTTAACTTCATATTTGGTTTCTATCTGCACCAAAGAAGATCCAATTTTGGTAGCATCAAGTCTAACCTTTTCTCCCAAGGATTCGTATTTTGACACATCCTTCTTGTCTGGAAAAGGTGTACTCAACATATCCTGCTGAAGTTTTTTAATCTCAGCAACATCGGCTTTCATTCTAGTTAATTCTTCTTCAATTTTACTGGCATCGGCCAGAAAATTCTGCATTGTTTTCCCTCCATCCATCTTTTTCTGGCTGCTTTCTCTTCCGGGTTTCTGTTCGCCCTTCTGAAGAAGTTGTTTTCTCTGCTGCTGCATCTCTTCTAATCTGTCTCGCATAGGCATGGTAAACCGTATCGCAATCAGTAAAGTCCGATGTGTCACTGTTTATATTTTTAGAAACCAATCCGGGTAGCCACCATGACGCAACTACACACTACTAGGAATCGATTGTATGAGTCAACTATGTTAATAATAAACATTAAACTAAAAGCATGCATCCGCCATTTTGTCAAGGGGTGGTAATTCTAATAGTAATTTCTCAACTGTTTTCACCCTCCTCCGAGAGAGTAAGCTAAAGGTGCTCAAATGATTTTTGAAAATGCAAAAGATGGAGAAGAGAAGAGGTAGAAAATGGTGAGACAAACATACAAATCATGGAGAAGAGAAAAGACAGAAACATGTGAAACAAACATAAAAGTAAACCTCAGCTTTACAAATCCACTTACATTAAGCAAACAAGGGACGTTGCGACGATTAGCTTTCATCAGCAGAAAAACAACATACAAAAATTAACTAGACCGCTCTGAATAGTATACCTTTATTTAAAGAAACAAACAACAACAACCTGTGTAGCTTTATTGCAGCCACGTCATTTCGGACCTAAAGAACCAGTGGACAATTATATTAGGTATAACAGAGCTATTTTAGGAGGGACAAAACAAGACAGAAGGAAAGGTACCGTACCACAATTACACCAGGCAGAAGTGGTCTTCACTAGTGCCTTGATTGGTTTGGTTTATTCAACGAATCAACATCATGGCACACAGGTGAAGCCCATTAGCACTCGGTTCTACTTCTAACTGAAAACTAAGTCTGAGAAACTCAGCGCAGTGCACGAACTCCGTTGCACCGGCGAGGATCCTGAAATACTTTGGGTATATTTGTAACTTTGAATTTTGTCTAGACATAGCCGTTAGGCTATTCCTTTCGTTTTCCAACTGCCAAGGATAACGTCTTTGAAGGCTGAGCATTCTGACATTTTTTTTTTAAATTTTATTTTAAATCCTATTGTGGTAGACCTCCAGATAGCACCCCGGATGGCATAAACACCTAATGAGTTAACAGTGTCTTCATATTTTTCTTCTTCATGTAACCTCCGCCTGGGAGTCCATGTTGTTCACCCACTTCTGGAACTTGATCTTGTTTCAGGCCTTGAATTTTATGTGTACAAAATGCGATGAATTCAGAGGGGTGAAGAAATAAGTAGAGAATAAATTATATATAAATAAATCAAATTAATAAAAATAAATATATATATAATAAAGATAAAAAGAACATGGGGTGCATGAACTACATGCGATATCAAAAGACAGCTGGCTGGGTGGAAATGATCCATTAAGGGATTAAAAGCAGGAACAAATAATTAAGAAGAATGAGATATAGATAAACAGCTAATAATCAATAGTCGACACTTACAGAAGTTTAGGAAAGAAGCTCACTTATGCGTAGAAGCTCATCTTTTGCTATAGCATACAATGTCGTATTATATTTAGTCCCTCCCTTGTGGGGTGCAATTTTTCGTTATTTTGAAGCCCCACCCTGGCTCTTGCCAGGGGCCGCAATATAGCCCGGCGATAAATATGGCCTAATGGCTGAACGCGCTTTCCGGGACCTCTCCACTGATGATCCTCATCCACATGGTGGCACTTTGTTTCATCAGGTGCTTATCGCTTGTGTGATATCCTAGTGGGGGTAAAATGTACTACTACTGAAAATAAATTTTGCTATAGCGAGGCGATATCGTTATTTGGAGGTGGCAAGTACGACTTCTAGTTTGGTTATTATTAATATTTATTTTTATATTATCTAGTATGTCATCTTAGAAAAAGAGGACGCCTTGAAAGAAACTGACTCACGAACAGATTATATTCTTCTATTTTCTTAAAATTTATTTCAGGAGGCCGGTAGCCTTTATGAAAACTATCGTGCCGTCTATATCTTCTTGTGTACCAGCGGAGAGAAGACATAAGTTTTGTAAGGGAACCTCCTTGAACCATTAAAGAAGCTATCTTTTACATATTTTGTTTGTACATTTAATATTCATTAATTATTCTTTTGAGCCATTATATGCCACACAGGGCTCGCAGTCTGTTCCTATATTCCTTTATAACTTTTCATATTATTTCAGTGAAATTATTATTTTTATTAGCATTTAAATCCAATAACATACTTCAAATAATGTTGACATATATAAACATATATTTCTAAAGAAAATTTACGTACATAGTTAAAGTTAAAGGGGGCCTCAAAGTTAGTTCCCATCCAAAACTATTGTGCGGGCTAAGGCCCCCCCCCCTCCCTTCCACCCTCTCAAATCGTAGAGGCGGCCTCAAGGGACCGGAGCTTCCAGGTGTCGACACTTATGAGACCGATAGAGAAGAATCTGGGCAGTTTAACATCGTGGCGTTCAAGAGAATCTGTGTTAGAATTGACTGAAAATGTACGAGACAGAGAAGGTTAGATTGTGCATAGACATGACTACCAAAGCCAGACAGCATGGACTATAAGAAGTATGTCATTTAGCTTCTACTTTTTCCTGTTATTGTTTTAAATATCGATTTCCTAGTGTGGGCTCAGGGGTCCCATTGTGGGGAAACAAGAATAGACCCACCGCCTACCCAATAAGCATATCGTAAAAGGCGACTAATTGTGGGGGGGGGGGGGGGGGCTGCCTTCAAAGTCAGGAACCACTAGTCTGCATACAAATAAGCAAGATCTGTAAAACTGATGCACGCGTAAAACTCAGGTCCTGGAAAAAAGCCGAAGTCCAGAAATGGACGAACAACCAGTTATTTTCGCCGGGTTTTACGGTGAACGAAAGCAACAACAAATATTAAATAATGTTTGTTGTTGCTGGCACTTTTCTGTGTGTCCAGATGATGGTCTTATAATGTGCCATCTAGCATGTGATTGATTGCCAATGACGATGGTGAATGTGACTATCAATACCAGCTCGCATTACAAAAAGGTCCTCAGAGATTGGGATTTCAGGACCATTGCTGTCAAAGCAATGACGTCCAGCTCTGAACCTATATGAAATAGTTCTCTCACTTATCCCCGTTTCATTTCTGATATCCGCCCTCTATGCATCACGTTCCATGGTCTCCTGTTCTTACGAAATTTTATTAATTTGTGTACATTATTATTATTATTTCTTCTTCTTCTTCTTTCTTCTTCTTCTTCTTCTTCTTCTTCTTCTTCTTTTTCTTCTTCTTCTTCTTCTTCTCGTTCACTGGCTGTAAACTCCAGCGGAAATCTCTGGTTGTTCGTCCACCTCTGAACTAAGTCTTTTTCCAGGACCTGCGTTTTGCATGCACATCCATTTTACAAAAATGATATGTGTATGCAGACTGTTGGTTCCTTGTCTCTAAATCGCATCAGCTGAAGAAAGGAAGGGCATCTGGGCCAAAGAAGATGCAATTCAACTATGAAGCAAGCACCCAGTTTGTCGACTCTTACGACAATTTTTTAGGGTAGTCAGTGGGTCTAAATTTGTTTTTACCCACAATGGGTGCCGGAACCCACACGGGAAGAATATTATAAGAACAAAAAATCCCAGTACAAATAACCTTTTTACGGAAATACAGTTAGGTTTGCCTCCCGTAGGGGCTCTTGTTAAGACAAATTTACAGTCCTAATTGTATGCCACATTGCCCCATATATATTACATTATTTAATCTTCGAACAAAATTGTATTTATTAATTAATACAGAAGTTATATTTTGTGTTTAATATTAATAAATTTAGGACATAATAAATTTCGCCAAGGGTTTAGTATTGTCCGCTAGCCCATTACAACAAAAATATTTTAATTGTGCTTAGCTTCCGTGAACATTCCTGGTACAACGCTGTAGCAAGCAGCACTGTCAACATGGTGGAACCATTTGGTGGCGACTTGTTCGACGTATTTCAAGATTCTACTGCAAAAGAAAAAGAATCGGGATCAAGAGGCGGATTAGATGGATCAAAGTAATTATTTTCTAATATTTACTACACATTTGAGAAATTTCCTATATTTAAAATCAATAAAAACGTTTACACAGTTTACACATCAAGCAAGAGCATGTATCACATCTGATCTGCATTTCGGATTTCCATCCTCCTCGCCTCAGCCATCTGCTGCATCCCTCAAAAATTAGTTTTGTAAGACGACAGCTTTAGCATTTAGAGACGGTAGAGAGTTAGAACCGGCTTATCTAGTTATAATTGCCCCACCCCCTCAACATTCCCTTGTTTTCCTGAGTAATTGCGTGAAATTTTACAGAATGTCACATAGACTTCATTGATTGATTGAATGAAACAAACAAAATAGTGTCTCTTATTCAGTTTTATAATTTATGCCATATTGGCCCCATAATTTTAACTGATCTCCATAGTTATATTGTCAGTATCATTCAGTGAAGGCCATATTTACTTCCTGAAGAATTTCCTTAACACATACCATTTTTTGTTTAGTGGATCAGCCTGACTATGAGGAACTCACTGAAAGTGAAACTGAAAACAAAATCCTTGGTTTTGAACTTATGACCACTTGCTTGGCAGGCTACCCACTACCTTATATGCTACATTGATTTTAAGCAGGGTCATCATTTCTATATATGTTGCCCTTGGAAGCTCCAAATTAGACTATTCCCGTAATTTCGTCATTCTCACATTCCCGTAAAAGTCGTAAAACCAGCCTGCAGTGACCTGACCTCTGAAATATTTGAATTAAAAATTAAGATAATGTTACTTGTTCTAATATCTCTCCGCTTACTGTGATTTTACCTGTTGGTCGCTCTTTTGTATTGTTAGTTAACCAATAGACACAGCACAGTTACAAACCACAACAAAGTACCAGATGGAAAAAAAAAAAGACCTAACTGATATTTTCTCTTTTGCAACAGAGCAGACAGAGTGTTCAGTCAGATTGCTGGCAAGAGAAGAGCAGAGGGGCTTGATGATGATTCAGCAAAGAAAACCAAAAATGAGGAAAAAATGTAAGTATCATACAGTTCATAAGTGATTTCACAAATTTTTGTTTTCATTTTCTTACCACCTACTTATGTTCTTAACCCTTATTGTATGTAGCATAGGTTCTCGGTCAACTAACATCCAGATGTCTTTTTCATTTTTCTACGAACAGCTATCAAACCAAATGAAAAGTAGAAATAGGTAGCTTCATATATGGGTTCCAGGGCCCCATTGTGGGGAAAACGATAATAAACCCACTGCCTTACCAACACATATGTCATAAGGGTTGACTAATTGAAGACTTGCTGTGAAGCTGGAGTGCATCTGCCTGAGAGGTGAGGAACTGACAGTCTGCATACAGATAAATCAGATCTGTAAAATGGATGCGCGTGCAGCGCTCAAGTTCTGGAACACGACTTGAAACACTATCATTTTTTGCCGCAGTTTACAGCTGGTGAAAGCAAAAAAAGAAAGAGATTATCCCAAATGCAAGCGACAAGTGAACATTGTGGCTAGAAAGCATTCATTAGCACATTACATGAATAGACAGTGGTATAGTTATGAACAAGAATACCCAGAATCACTTAAATATCTCCAAGATAAATCCAGATGTCTGTCTGGCCAGTTGACGCTCTGACACGCATGTGAACATAGGAAATGGATACTAGCTGGGGAAAGGTGTGACAGGCTTCACATTTTTCAAGTGTGGGATTTTGTAATTAAAAAAAAAATTGTATTTTATTGTTTATTTTTAATTTAGTTCTACTTATGTTCATTTTCCTGACTAGAATATGTTCTCAACCAGCCCACATCAAGCTGTTGTAATTCCTCCCCCATCCACCCCCAACATTTCTTGCATGCCCCCTTTTATTGGCGCCATTTATATTATGCTGTAGGTAGGTGTGGGAATCATGGCCTATAGTCCTATAGCAATGGCAACTGTGACTCGAAAGACCAGCTTGGGTTAAGAAGTCTTCCACAGTAAGAGCATGGAATTTCAGCTCCACTGTTGCCATCACAGCCCCCTTCATGTCCTCTCAGTATAATATATTATTCATATCTGTGTTGTCTGCATGTGTTAAGTCTCCCTTCATCTCCTTTGCCCTGTAGGTTCGGGGGAAAGTAAAAGTAAAAGACCCTTTTTCACGTCTTTAGGCATATTGGGCATATATGACCAGACCTATATTTTTAAAGACTAATCAGCACATGGGTGAAATGATTAGCATAATGCCGATCGACTTTACTTCCCAGGACTATACCTGGTACCCACTCAAGGCAGGGTTGACCTGAAAGCCAAGGTCATTAAAAAAATCTGGCTCAGTCAGGATCCGAATCCACAACCTTATGATCCACAGGTGAGCTTCGAACCGCTGCACTACGGTGGCTCCCAGGTATATAGTACTAGACCTAAATTTTATAGACCAATTGGGGTTCAGTGGTTGATGTGGTCAGCATCATGCTGGCCACCTTTACTTCCCAGGACTTTATCTGATGTCCATTTAAGTTTAGGTGGACCTGGAAGCCTAGGTATTTAAAAATATACAAGTTACATTTGGATTTGAGCCCACAACTTTCAGATCCAAATGTGAGTGTATATTCTCTGCACCATAGTGACTCCCTTCTAGTGAAAGGACATATTAGTTATGTTATCTGCTTTTCTTAGTAAATGTCATATTCCTCATTTGTTGATTTGCTAATATTCTTTCTTTAAGCTCTCTGTGAGTAATTTTGTCATTAAATTATATTCCTTCTATATATATTTTCCGTGTACACTAGTTAATGCACACTAGTTAATAAATTGTATAGCGTATTAGTAACTTGAGAAAAATTCATTCTGACTGTTTCTAATTCAAACAGCAATACTGATTTGACATTAGAGTTCATGGTTAGCTTGCTTTATTTACATGTATGTTGTTTTTTAATCGGGTAATATATCACAGTATTGTGTAGTCATTGAGGTATAACAGAGCCTTCTGGCAAAAATGGCAGAAAACGAGGTGACGGCTGATTGGGTTTTCAGCTATGTTTTGCTGGTGCAAATTTTCCATATCTGAACTGTGAGTATAAAGGTTCCATTGCCCAGATACTGAGTTGAGTGTTTGGTATAACACTGTGAGTTGGGGATTTCATGGGGCATGTTTTTTTAATGTAGTGCCCGTGGCGTGTTTTTGACTGCACTAAAATGGCATGTACTTTTGCATTCCCACCTAAATTGAGCTGCAATTCAGGTATGGTATGTGACTGCTACTGTTGGCACATTTGACAGTTGCCTTTCCCATTTTTACTTTGCATATGCAAGCTTCAAGATATTGCAGGGCCTTGAAAGGTTTCCACTAGTTTTCAAATGGGGACATTGAAGGACATTCTGTTTGATTTCCACTGGATCAGAAATAGAGCAGTGATGTAGTCACCCATCTGCAGTGATGTAGTCACGCATCTGCAGTGATGTAGTCACGCATCTGCTGTGATGTAGTCACGCATCTGCTGTGATGTAGTCACCCATCTGCAGTGATGTAGTCACCCATCTGCAGTGATCTAATCAGCCATCTGCAGTGATGTAATCACCCATCTACAGTGATGTAGTCACGCATCTGCAGTGGTTGACACCTCGACTAATAAAAGAATCCTAATTTTCAGCTTGCTAAAGAAAGGAGGACATACTAGTGAGTTTAAATGTGGTACTGGATGACACTTAGGCGTTGCAAACGCGCTTTGTAATTCTTAGGTGCGGGTTCAGTCTCAGCTGCGGGTCTTGAGTTGGTTTTGATAGTGTTATCACGAGGCTGACTGTCCAGAAAGCAATGCCAAACTACTAGGCGTAAATTTGCCTAGAAGAACTACAACAGCCAAGAAATGCTGGGGTTGGTTCTGCAACTTTCTGTAAAGGATACACAACTAACTAACTGGATGACAGTCTCACTGCAGCACTCCTCATTAGTCTCTTATGACATGCAAGGTAACAGTTCTTTCCAGCTTGCTTGTATGAACAAATTTTTGGATTTAATTTCAGCGTGGAAGTGATGCCCCGGCTACAGATACACACAGTGGAAACATTGGAGGCCTGCACACATGAAGTATGTTTTCATTGAGTTTGTTCTTAATTAGCTGATTACATCCTCGTGTGGTTTTTTTCTTTTGCCCTTTATCCCCCAATAAGGCATAGGACCTCAAGTCGTCCTATCCTTTGCTGTTGCTTGCCGCTCACCTCATGTTCTCCTTGTCTTCACTCTCCAGCTCCCTTTTGTGTGGTCTGCCTTTATTTCTGTGTGTCTGTGGATTCCAGTGAAAAGACATTCTGGTTATATTGTTTTCAGGTTTTCTCACTGTATCTAATCCAGCGCCAGCGCCTCTTCACCTCTTGATTCACTGGAATTTTAGCTCTCTCCTAAAGCTCGACAGTGGTGATTGTATCATAAGATTTAATTCTTTCTGTTCGCTCTGTGTGTGTGTGTTTGTTTTCCTTGGTTTTTTTTCAGGAGCTTCATTTTGGGGGGAAAGGGTAGATCCACAGTATTTATAACAGACATGTTGTAAATGACTAATTAGGGGTTTGCAGAATCGGTTATATTGGACCCTCACACCCACACAGGAAACATTGAAGCCAAAGGAGAAGGACTTCGTTCTTTACCCTGATGTGTGTTGGATGTATGGTGCCAGCCCAGATTTTCTTTTATGTACAGATCGGCATTCATCAATTAATTTGGTCAGTAACATGCCGTCTGCCTTTATTTATTACATTTCCAGGTGCCCATTTTACACTGGGGTGACCTGGGAACTCCTTTTAATTTTAACTATCCGTGCCTCCATTGGAATTTGAAATACAATTATGCCATTGCACAGTTTCCCAAATTCAACGTAACAGCTAAAATGAGAATTAAAATGACTGTTATTAATGACTGTATTAACACTTTTGTTGTCTCTTGAATGCTAAAACATGGGCTGTGAAGGTGGGAATTTCTGGAAAAGAAAAATCCTTTTTAAAAAAACCCAACCGTTTTATGCAAATGACCAATAACTTGTTTAAAAATTTACTTATCACAATTTAAAAAATTTTTGTTTTGAAATATATAAAAATAGATAAAGGGATAAATCAGTAGACAAGAAAAACTAGCATACTCTTTGTTGGTTGCTTTCTCCATGAGACTTCACCATTTGATTAGGATAAGAACTGAGATGTTTTTTTTTTTAAGTGCACTGGTCAAAAAACAAAATCAACAACTTTAGAAAAATGGAGAAAAAACATGGAAAATATATTTTTTAAAACATGTTTTTATTACCGTCAGTCAAGTGATGATTGCAGATTTAATGTTGGTGTATGTAATCTTTTGACAGGTGGTTGTGCCGCCAGATACAGAGTATGTGCCTTTGAAGCCTCCTTCAGGGGAGCCTGCTAAAGTGTACCCCTTTACCTTGGATCCCTTCCAGAAGGAAGCCTTGCTGTGTTTGGAGAACCACCAGTCTGTGCTTGTGTCAGCTCACACGTCAGCTGGGAAAACTGTTGTAGCTGTGTGAGTAATTTCGGCTGTCTTCTTCTTGTGCCATTTATCCAGGGAAGGATTCGGACTTGGTTAGACCCCAAGCTAGATAAAACCCCTACCCTACTTACATGAAAGTTTAGAGAGAACAATAAAGGAGGGGTATATGCCTGGGAAGAGAGTAAAAGAAAGGCCAAAGAAAAGATGGGTGAAGGATGTGGCGGATGGTCTCCAGATGGGTGTATTGTATGCGGGACATCTTGCTTGTGATCAAAAGTTTACCAGAAGGTTATTGAAGCACGGTTCTGCGAAGGACATGCTACTGATTGACTGATTGACCCTTTTAAAATACAGCCAATCTAAGAAAACTTATAAAGTTATACACTTTTTAGGTATATGGATGTTGGAAATATATTATCGTTTAATTTTTAGTTTAAAAAAAATAAAAATGTGTTTGCAGAATCACATAAACTATTTGTAATCCACTAAAAAAGCTCTGTTAAAAGAAAACTGTTTTTGTAAAAAAAAAAAAAAAAATTTGTTAAGCTGCCGCTTAGTTTAGCTTATTCCTTAATCCAGCACTGCGTCTATTTCCAAGAAGAGCATACCGCCTCAGTTAGTTTTCGTCAAATTATCTTGTCTTCTGCCATCGCATGCAACGCTCTCCTTGTCTTATTCATTACTTTTTGCATGTATTAAAAAAAAAATGCAGACCTCCCCTACTAAGCAAGTAGCATGTTATCTGTTGCCTTTCTGATGTCCAGTTATGCCATAGCCATGTCCCTGGGTAGCAAGCAGCATGTTATCTGTTATCTTGTTTACCTCCAGTTATGCCATAGACATGTCCCTGCAGACCAAGCAGCATGTTGTCTGTTATCTTTTTTACCTCCAGTTATGCCATAGACATGTCCCTGCAGAGCAAGCAGCATGTTATCTGTTATCTTTTTTACCTCCAGTTATGCCATAGACATGTCGTGTCCCTGCAGAGCAAGCAGCATGTTATCTGTTATCTTTTTTACCTCCATTTATGCCATAGACATGTCCCTGCAGAGCAAGCAGCATGTTATCTGTTATCTTTTTTACCTCCAGTTATGCCATAGCCATGTCCCTGCAGAGCAAGCAGCATGTTATCTTTTTTACCTCCAGTTATGCCATAGCCATGTCCCTGCAGAGCAAGCAGCATGTTATCTGTTATCTTTTTTACCTCCAGTTATGCCATAGACATGTCCCTGCAGAGCAAGCAGCATGTTATCTGTTATCTTTTTTACCTCCAGTTATGCCATAGACATGTCCCTGCAGAGTAAGCAGCATGTTATCTGTTATCTTTTTTTACCTCCAGTTATGCCATAGACATGTCCCTGCAGAGTAAGCAGCATGTTATCTGTTATCTTTTTTTACCTCCAGTTATGCCATAGACATGTCCCTGCAGAGCCAGCAGCATGTTAATTGTTGTCTATCTTGTCTTCAGTTACGCCATAGCCATGTCCCTGGGTAACAGGCAGCATGTTATCTGTTGTCTTTCTCATCTCCGGTTATGCCATAGACATGTCCCTGGGTAGCAAGCAGCATGTTATCTGTTATCTTTCTCATCTCCGGCTGTGCCATAGCCATGCCATGTCCCTGGGTAGCAAACAGCATGTTATCTGTTATCTTTCAAGTCTCCAGTTATTTCATGTCCCTAGCTAGCAAGCAGCTTGTTATTTGTTATCTTTCACATCTCCAGTTACGCCATAGCCATGTCCCTGAGGAGCAAGCAGCGTGTTATCTACACCACCCCCATCAAAGCCTTGAGTAACCAGAAGTATCGAGAGCTGTATGAGGAGTTCACAGATGTGGGCTTGATGACAGGAGATGTTACCATCAACCCAACCGCCAGTTGCCTGGTCATGACTACTGAGGTTTGTTTTTCTTCTTCTTCTGCATTCGCCTTAAATCAGCAGATGGCATGTTGTGTTTCACAGCCAAGCCCGACATATCTGATATCAGCAAACTAATTAATCATCTTTTACAGCAAATTTGTCAAGGGGCACTGAGCTCATGTTGTTTGCCCTGACTAAATTACTTTGTCTTTCTTATGCAATTTTAAGTTGTCATGAAACTTATGTGTCTTATTTTCTTTTAAAGAAGATTCCTTAAAAATAAAAATTAATCATGCCCTATCTTTTGGGCTAAGGTCTAGAGGATCAACATTTTAATGCCAAATTTTATACTGTGTAGCTCATTTTCTGCGCAAAATGGCTGGTTGCCTGTTGAGAGCATCGCACGAAGTAAAAAATCTTAACTTCCCTATGGACCTTTATAAAACATCTTGAGCTGAATGACATTCATCAGTCACACCAGTGGCTTCTGAGCGGGAGGCAGACAACTTGACCACTTGGACACTAAGACCCTCAATCTAGTTTCAGACTCTACCATCTTTTGAGTCAGAATTCATGTACTTTCTAGTTTAAAAAAAACTTTATTGTAAATAATGCTGCCAATAAAAAGGAATGTATTTTCTGTTTTAATCAGTTCTGACAAGCTCCCATATGGTTTCCTGGGCCCAACTGTATGGGGGGGGGATGGGGGGCAAAAAGAATAGACCCACTGTCTCCCCAACAAGCATGTCCTAAAAGTCGACTAATTAGTGGTTTCCTTCAGAGTCGGTGTACATCTGCCAGAGAGGCAAGGGACCAGCAGTATGCATACTGTAAAACAGATGTGCACGCCAAACTTCAGTACTGGAACAAGACTTAAGTTCACAGGTGGATGAACAACTGGAACTTTCTGTCAGGGTTTACATAAAAAAGAAGAAAAGCTCTGACAACATTGCTTATTATACATTAGGTCACAGCCTTGTGAAATAAGGGGGCCAGCTCGTTTATCACCACCTTTATCTTGATATAAAAATATACAATGTTGGATCTACATCCCCCCTTGTAGGTTCGGGACGCCATTGTGGGAAAACAAGAGTAGACCCACTGTCTCCCCAACAAGCATGTCGTAGGAGTCAACTAATTGGGGACTTCCTTCAAAGTCGGAGTGCATCTGCCTGAGCGGCAAGGAACATCGGAGCAAAATAAAAAAAAATCACGTAAAACGAATGTGCATGCAAAACTCAGGCCCTATCACAAAGCCAAAGTCCAAATGGATGAACAGCCAACACTTTTCACCATAGCTTACAGCCGGTGAACAAAGAAGAAAAGGAAGGATCCACAGGGGCTTCGATGTATCTGGAATGAATCTCTTCGGCCAAGAATTGAATGCGTACTGTTGGTTAATGATATACTGCAGGGGTTTCCAGTTGAGACCTGCCGACGTCTCTTATTTTTAGAGGTCTGCCAGGGACCCTCATTAACATGAACTCGCTTAAGAAGAACACTTGGTTAATATAAACAAAATATTTTCCCTGCAGGGGTATATAGTTTGAGTCCTCTCTTGGAACTTTTTTTTAACACGAATGCTTGATTGACCTTTCGATCCCTTGCAATTTATGTTACTGAGGTTTTACTGTATTATAATTGTAAAATGGGATTATGTTCTGAAGTTAAGTTTTGTGTGTGAGTGAATGGTATTATTGTGGGCCAATAAATTGGAAACACACAGGGCATTGTGAATACCAGTGTTATTGTTTTTTTTAAATCTAAACTTAATTCACTTGGGGGTTTTCTTTCAGATTTTGAGAAGTATGTTGTACCGAGGTTCTGAAGTGATGAGAGAAGTGGCCTGGGTAATCTTTGATGAGATCCATTACATGAGGGACAAAGGTGAAATAGAACTCTCTATATGTGTGTAGTGTTACTAGTAAAAAGTTAATTTTAAAAGTAAACTCATCTTTTTTCATGCCTTGGGCACATTGGGCATATGGGAAGAGCACCCATATTTTTTTACAGACCAATCGGCACTAGGTGGGTAATGTGGTCAGCATTACGCCGGCCATCTTTACTTCCCCAGGACATACATCCTGGTACCCATTTTAGGCTGGTAGAGAGATGATGTACAGACAGACCTAGAAACGATTGAGAGTCAACTGGAAAGAAGAAAACCAGTCGCAGAGATAAATGGAGGCGGGTGATATCTGCAGCATTGAATCTCAAGGCTCTCGGCATGCTGAAGGTGAAGAGTTAATAATGCAAATTAGGAAGACATGAGTACATCGGCGACCGGGTCACCCATTGGCTGGCTGGTAGACGGCTTTGGGTCTGTCTCCTGTGATCGCAACAACACTGCAAGAGTTCTATTCAGAGCTACTTGGTGGCGAGCAATGCTAAGCATTTTATATAGTGCACCTAAACCTAGTCACAATTATAACCAAAAACCTCCCCCTTCGGAGGATGCTGGTTGAACATGATGTAGAAAGTTCATGTAAGACCCACATATTTCTTAGTCGCCTCATAAAGGACAAGTAAGGCGGTCCACTTTATGCTGACTGTTTTTTTTTTACTTACTAGCTCTCTGGAGGCGCCCATTTTATAAGTCTGGGTCACTCTCATAACTGCATTCATCATTATAATTTGCTGTTTAATTGAGCGTGGGTGGTGGTTGTTAGCAGTCTCACATTATCACAACAATCTTATCTCAGGTCTGCAAATCAGTTTGTGATTTGTATTTGTCTTGAGGAGAACTGCCTCAGTGGTATTTCTTCCCCCTTTTGGGTTTTTGGGGTCCCATTGTGGGAGGGAGAATAGACCCACTGCTCCCTTTACAATTGTGTCATAAAAGTTAAATACTAAGGGGTGTTTCTTAGAAAACTGGAGGAAGGCATCTGCCTGAGAGACGAGGAAGCAACAGCCTGCATGCAAATAAGCGATATCTTTAAAATGGACGTGCAAGCAAAACTCAGTTTCTGGAACAAAACTTAAAATCTAGAAGTGGGCAAAGAACTCAGAACTTTCCACCTGGGTTAACAGGCAGTGAACACCACAAAAACAGCCAGTGAACATCATGAAGAAGAAGAATTTTATCTCTGTCAGCTCATGATGTTCTTTGCCTGTTTATCAAAGCCACATTTTCCCTGTCATCATGTGTTTTTATCCTGTCTCCTTATTGTTTCATATGCATACGTAGGTTATGTGTAGCACTTTAAAACTCTTTGTTCAGTGCTTTTAACATCTTTTATTGATATCATTTGCATCTTTTAAAAAGGCAACTTTTGTGATGCAGATTCTTATTCTGATCTCTGCAAGGCATCTTGTGTTAAATGTTATGACTGTTCGTTAGTTAGTTTACTGGCTGGGTTGTACCATTTCACTGGCTCAGTTGTACTCATTCGCTTGCTGGTTTGTACATATTCACTGGCTGTGTTGTACCAGTTCAATAGCTGTATTGCACCAGTTCACTGGCTGAGTTGTATCAATATACTGACTCAGTTGTACCAGTCGACTGGCTGTGGAATGCTGCCACTGTTGAGATTAAACCTCGACTAAAACATTAGCAGACACTTTCACAAACATCTGCACTAAACAGATGTTGCCAGACATAGAAAAGTAACGTTAAATAAATACTATAATGTTAAAACAATGACTGCCTTGTAATTTTCAGAGCGTGGTGTTGTTTGGGAAGAGACTATTATCCTTTTGCCAGATAATGTCCACTACGTATTTCTCTCGGCCACCATTCCCAATGCCAGACAGTTTGCTGAATGGATTTGCCACCTGCACAAACAGGTAAGCTATTTATGTTTGATGTGTAATGGAGCGTATCCCATGTATTTTGAACATTTGGTCTGTTATAACCTAACTGTTTATGTCAAAAGGCCATCTCAAGGCAACAGATAGTATTGCAGGTAAATATTTATAACACGGACTGCTTCAGATATACCTGATGATGTCCACTTCTTTTTCTTTAATGATTGCCCTAAAAAAAAGGGCGATCCCCACGTTTCATTGTGGTTTACAGCTAGGCTGCAATATTTGTGCCTTTTGGCAGAGCACATCAAATTTCAGCGATTCCTTGATTAGTGGCCTTTTATGACTTGCTTTTCAACGGCCAGTTCCACCATCCCTTTCCCCTCCATGCTGCACCCCTTCGCCACCCTACTCCCCAGAAAAACCTGGACCCCTCATAAGAAAGGACCACTCAATCTGGGGTATCTGAAGAACAATCAGAAACTCCCTAAACCAGGTAATTTGTAAGTATAGATGTTTGACCTTTTGTAATGTAATTGATCCTTAGAAGATATGGGGCTAGTAGTTCTGGGAGATATTGCCAGTGATTCTAGCAGGAGATCGCAGTTATTATTATATATCACTGGCAGGACCACAGGTATTTGTAGATGTTCATAGTAGGAGTCGCAGGTGTTTGTAGATGTTCATAGTAGGAGTCGCAGGTGTTTGTAGATGTTCATAGTAGGAGTCGCAGGTATTTGTAGATGTTCATAGTAGGAGTCGCAGGTATTTTTCATATATTGCTGACAAAAGACTTGTAATGTTATCAGTCTGTCTATTGGATGTGGTTTAAAATCTACAAATATTTCCTTTGTGGCCTTGTAATCACATAATAAATGAAATAAATTGCAAAATATCAGACCCAAAAGAGGTAGTGGTGTAAAACTCACAAACATGAGACTTGCACCCAACATTTGAACAATCCTGTTAAAAAGGAAAACAGATTAACAAAAACATGAAATAAAGGACCTTGAGTATAATTATAAAAGTTTACAGTGGAAGAAATGAGGTATTTTCAGTTTGAACCTCTAGTATACACTCCTTTTTTTTTTTAAACAATGCATTGAGAAAAGTATGTTTTTAGTCTTGTTCTAATGTTCACACCGATAATTGTGAACTTGTAATAAACATGAGATAAATGAGTGTTTTTTTCAGCTTTATTATGTATTATTCACTGATTATTTTGTTACTGACTAAAATGAGACAAATATGTTGTTTAATGTCTTGTCTTATACATGACACTGTTTGAGATTGAAACTTCAAAAAGAGAGAACTATTGTTAGCAGTCTTGTCATGAATTCTACACTGATTATCTAGAAAAAAAAAAGAAAACCTGTATTGTCAACAGCCATGTCATGTGGTCTACGCTAGTTATCTTGAAAGTGAAAAAAAAAAAGAACCATATCTGTCTTCTTGTCGTGTATTATACGCTGATTATTTTGAAACTGGAAAATAAGAGAAATGTATTTTTCCCCCCAGCCATGTCATGTGGTCTACACTGACTACCGCCCCATTCCCCTGCAGCACTACATCTTCCCAGCTGGCGGAGATGGCCTACATCTGGTGGTAGATGAAAACGTAAGTATTATGGCCACATTTTTATTTGTTACCATAAATTGCGGCGTATAAGTCCAGTTTTTGAGCTTAAACTGTAATTCAGAAACTAGGGATCAACTTGTCTTCTTCTTCTTCTTCTTCTTCTTCTACTTCTACCATTTATCCCCCAGTAGAGCATGGACCCTCAACGACTCAACACCATGTCGTCCTAATATTTTTTATTGCATTCAAGCCACCTGTTACCCCATGTCCTCCTTATCTTCACTCTAGCTCTCTTCTCCATGTGCATTTTGGTCTGCCTTTATTTATATACACTTGTGGGTTCCAGTGCAGAGGCATTCTAGTTATATTGTTACAGGTTTTCTCAGAATGTGTCCTATCCAACCCCAGCATCTTTCTTAATCTCTTGATTCCCTGGCATTTGTTTGGTTTTCTTGCCAAGCTCAGCATTAGTGATCCTGCTTTACCATTTAATTCTCTCTGTTCTGCTCAGGCACCAGTTCATGAATGTTTGTAGTTTATTAGTAATTGTTTTTGTTATTGTCCATGTTTCCACTCCATACAGCAATACTCATTTGACATAAAATTGAAAAATTTAAGTTCAGTATTAGTTTGAATTTATTTAGACTGCCACATATTTCCTAGTGCTATGTAAACTCTTCTTGCCTTTTGTATACATATTTCTGTAGTCTCCGTCTTTGCCTGCGTTGCTGCTCTAATAGGTATATGATTCTACATCTTGGAGTGGGATATCGTTAAGAGAAATTAGATTATTTTTTGTCCAGTTATTCTCATTATCTTTATCTTTCCATTATGGATTTTTAGACTATCTGTTGTGATCTTGCATCTGATTCCATGTCTGGGAGAGAAGAGAAATGTCTGCCGGAAAGTCCAGGTCATCAAGCTGTTTTGTAGGGTTCCATTGAATTCCACTCCTGGTGGTAGTTGCCGCTGTCTTCATTACCCAATCTTTTGCCGGTAAAGATCGTAGAGGCAGAAAAAGACTTCCCTGGGGAACAGGGTAGGCATCTGTTGGAGTGAGATTGGTATAGAAACTGTATGCAGACTCCGTTGAAAAGGTGAGGAGGAAAGGGGATGAATGACATAATGTTTGACAGGAATGAGGTCAGAAGAGCAGCCAGAATGTTAAATCAGCCTGTATACCCAATACTGAACCCTTTAAAAATAAAGTTTGTTCGTTCCTGCATTCCTGTACATCCCTGTATGCATGCGTGTGTTTAACCTTCCATAAAGAAAGGCAAGAACAAATTCATGTCTTCACCCATGGTGCGCTGGCATAGAAACATGACCTCTTAACCTAATGACTTCTGTTTTCATTAAATCATGAACAGGGTGACTTCAGAGAAGACAATTTCAACACTGCAATGTCCATTCTGAGAGATGCAGGAGACGCAGCCAAAGGAGACCAGAGGGGCAGGAGAGGTGGAAGTAAAGGTACATACATGGCTAAACAACATGTTCTCCAAATAAATGTCTGTACTATTAAACCTTTTTCCAATGTGGGTTCCAGGGGTGCTGTTTTGTGGGGGGAGAAGAATAAACTCACTGTACCCTCACAAGAATGTTGTAAAAGATGGCTAATTAGGGGGTTTGCTGAAATTGAATGTGTTGGTCTGAATGTCTTAAAGCAGGTCTTTTCAATAAAATATACTCCGTGGCAAAAATTGTGAACACCGTCCAGAAGCTGAAGCCCCAGCCTAGAAAGATCATTAATACAAGAAACTGACAGTGATCTGTTAGGCCTTCGATTCCCTCGAAGTCAGAGTACATCTGCCGGTGAGGCAGGGAACGGCAAACAAATAAGCCAGTAAAATGGATGTATACACAAAACTCAGATCCAGGTAAAAGCCAAAAAGTCCAAATGGACGAACTGCCAGGACCTTCTGCCATAATTCACAGCCGGTGAACGAAAAAGAAGAGCTAGGCCTTCGCGGGTTAGAATTGGGAGAAGGAACAGGCAGTCATATTGGCTAATTCTGCACAACTCAGTGATAAGCTGATGCATTACAAGCAAAATTCCCCGTGTGGGTTCCGGGGCCCCATTGTAGGGGAAAACAAGAATAGACCCACTGCCTCCCCAAAAGCATGCGGTAAGAGTCGACTAACTGGGGAGCTTCCTTTGAAGTCGGAGTGCATCTGCCGGAGAGGCAAGGAACCAACAGTCTGTATTCAAGAGAATGAGATCTGTAAAACTGATGCACACGCAACACTCAGGTTCTGGAGCAGGACTGCCGTCCAGTAATGGACGAGCCACCAGAACTTTCCGCCAGTGTATACAGCTGGTGAACGCGAAGAAGAAGAAGACAAGCAAAACGTTGTTAGGGCCCTTTAGGATCGAGCGAACAGTGCAGAGGCACAATCAGAGCATCCTGGTCTGAAGAGAATGGTGCAATGGGGAATGACCAGGGGATCTAGCCGACACTCCAGGCTTAGGGGATCTGGCCGACACTCCAGGCTCAGGGGATCTGGCCGACACTCCAGGCTCAGGGGATCTGGCCGACACTCCAGGCTCAGGGGATCTGGCCGACACTCCAGGCTCAGGGGATCTGGCCGACACTCCAGGCTCAGGGCATCTGGCCGACACTCCAGGCTCAGGGGATCTGGCCGACACTCCAGGCTCAGGGGATCTGGCCGACACTCCAGGCTCAGGGGATCTGGCCGACACTCCAGGCTCAGGGGAAGGCAAGAAGGACATACAGTCAGGCTGCTACTGGTGCCATCGGAGTTGCGACTCTTTGCTGGCTGCACGTGTGGCAATGTCCAGAGTGCTATGATGTCATTTCTTGAGACTCAACTTCATTCCCTGTGTTGAGTTTTCCAGTCAGTTTGTGTTGTATTTAATGCTGTAGAAAAGATGGCTTGACATAAGTTGGTTGGGTGATAATATGCTGAGGATGAAGAGGAACTCTTTAAAAAGCATGTTTTATTTCCTGTATAAGGATCCTTTGGGCTTAAGAGACCTACTGCCACAATTAGGTGCTATTACAGTTTTCTCAACTTTTTTATATTCTAAGATAATAAGGCAAGAATCCAGGCAAGAGTATGTGTCTAATTTTATACGAAAATGCTGCTGGAACTATGTCGGCCACGCCCGTAGAATGGATAAATCAAGACTTCCTTACCAAGCCCTCATTTGGACACCACAGGGGAAAAGATCTCGTGGAAGACCAAGGGAAACTCTACGTAGAACTATCATCAGGGAAGGCTCGCTCATGGGCCACTCAAACATCCAAGACCTACAACAGATTGCAACGAACCGCCATGCATGGAGAGTCATGACCTCTGCCCTATGTGCCGCACTCGACACAAGAGGAAAGACTAACTAACTAACTAAGATACACAAACAATGTTAAGCATTGGATATTTTGCAGAATCTTGCCAATGTCAACATATTTGATTTGAAAGGATTAATTTAATTTGCTTCATTATAAGCTGGACAGGCACACACGCACCCACACTTCTTCATGAAACATGCTTAATTTATTGTAACTTGTTTTCTCTTAAACACATGTGATGAAACAGATTAGACATTTCACGTCAGCTTTTGTATTTCTCATCTCTTGCAGCAAATGAGTCTGACTGTTACAAAATTGTGAAGCTCATCATGGAGAGAAACTTCGCTCCAGTTATTGTCTTCAGTTTCAGTCGAAAGGACTGTGAGGGTTATGGGATGCAGATGTCAAAATTAGACTTCAATACCGGTGAGCTGCCTCTTTAGCATTTTCCAGATTCTGTTTGTGTATTACCTTATTTTTGATCCCAAAAAAAAAGAGAAGGTAAAGCGGGAATAAGATGTATATCACTAGGACTATGGTTTCGTGGGCTGTAAACATAGTTTTACACCACCTTAAGACAGTGTGAGGCAGAAACAGATAAATTGTTTACTAATTAATTTATAAATTGTTTGTAAAAAGAATTAATTGTTGGTGTACGCAAAATTTTTTTTTGTATGGTGTTGGAATAAATACATCTTTATGGGAATAAAGTGTACTGGAGCTAGAACCCACAGGGTCAAAGGGATAAAACACATGGAGAAGAGAATTAGGGTTGTGGTGCAGCAGATAAAGAGGGGTGAGCTCCGTACATACACAAAAAAAGTTGGGGGTGGGGGGGGGGGGGGGTGACTCAGTAGGACTATTCTCCACTGGGCAACAAAGGCAGAGAAAAAGAATAGTAATTTATGAACCGATTTGTCCTGGTGGTTGCTTTTTGGGATCTGAGTTATCTGGGTCTGTTTACATTAACATGTGTCTGTTGACAGTTTGATTGAAAGTGAATATTTTTGCTGTGACAGCTAGCTACACGTCACCTATGTCATTGAGGTACTACATCATGCAGTCATGTCAAATTGTTAGAGGACAAAGATATTTCACATCTAAATAATATTAGTCACAATTTATTGTTATCAGTTCTACTGTAGGGAAAATACAAAACTAATTTAAAAAAAAAGGTGAAGTCGGGAGATGGGAACCAGCATCACTGCACAGTTATAAACCATAAGTGTTCTGCTACCAGTTTGGTCAGCTAATAAGTAACTGTCTGCCTGTGTTGCTGTCCGCATGCAACTCTACAGCGACGTTCCTCCAAAGTGTTAACTCTGGTACCCATTACCTAGAGGCTGGGTGAACCATGGGAACCGCCCGGTTTTGAACACCTGCCGTGGGCTGCTGCAAGTCGCAGCTGGTTTTGAAAGCAAGTCTCCTATTGACTGCACTAATGTGGCCCCCATAAACATATATAACAAATTAGGGACAGAAAGCAGCTTTCATCTTCATGACTTCATGACCAAATAGAAGTGGCCTCTCACAGGATAGAGAAAAATGTACACATTTATGCATTCTTGTGTATATTTTGTTTCTTTCTATCAGAGGAAGAGAAGACATTGGTCGAGGAAGTGTTCAGCAATGCCGTTGATGCCCTGTCAGATGAAGACAAGAAACTACCACAGGTATGATTCTCATTAAACAATTTTGAATATTGGCTGTGTTCAAGAATTAAACAGAAGAATAAGATTTGATGAATGGAAAGAAAGATAGGGCAGGAGGACACCAGGGAACTTGATTTGATGAAACACAGCAGGGAATTAGATTTGTGGAAGGAACTGGGAAGACTCACCCCATTAACAAATGCTGGATGTATTGATCGAAAGGCTCAAATATCGCAGCCATGCTGTGACAGATATCGCAGCCATGCTGTGACAAATATCGCAGCCATGCTGTGACAGATATCACAGCCATACTGTAAATGGGCGCAACACACACCTTCAGTGAACTCAGAAGAAGAAGAAGATTTGTGGAAGGAAGTGTGGGACAAGAACTAGAAAAACAGCGGGAACCTAGATCTGTAGAAAACACAGCTTGCACATTGAGAATGCTGCAGGAGATAGCAACAGATGAGAATGCTAGTCAGCTGGTTGAAGACCAGCTTTGGATATTTTCTCCATGAATGCCGGCGTGTTTGGAAATGAGCAGGCAGATAGATTGGCTGGATTTGCACCACTTTCTGGTGAATTCATGTGTGACTGGTTAGATTTTATGAGGGTTCTTTGGGAGTGAGTGAACAGTGAGGAGGCGCAGATAAGTCATTACTGTCTGCGAAGAATAGCATTGCGAGTAGTTACCAGGGGATCTGGTCGACTCTTATTACTCAGGGGACGGATAAGATGTATATATAATCAGACGGGTCCTGGTAGCATAGGAATTGGAACTCTTCGCTTGCTGCTAAAGATAGGGACTGAGCACTTATGGGAGTGTCCAGAGTGCAGTGATGTCGATTCTTAATTCAACATTCAGCATTAAAGACCTAGCTCCAGTGTGGGATATAAGGCAGAGTGCAAATAATAAAGATAAAATAATCTGTTGGCCCCACAGTATGGGATGCACGTTTTCGTTATTTTAAAACCTCACTGTAGCTGTTATCGGGAGCCCTAACATAACATAATGGTTGAGCGGGAGTTCAGGTACTTGTGCCCAGGTGGTTCTCATCCGAGTGGTGGCACTTTGTGTCACCGGGTGTTTATTGCTTATTGTGTGGCCCTGGTTGGATTGACTTTATTCAGTAAACAATTATGTGTCAATGTTACTCATCATCATTATCTTTCCATTGTGCCATTAGTCTAGACCAGTGTTCTCTAATCAGTGGGCAGCGTAACAATACAGGTGGGCTGCTAGAAATTGCTGCCTAATCATGTAACAGGGTATGGTAGGTAGTTCTTACCCTCCCAGGAATGGGGGCTGCGTGGTCTTGAGGAATGGTGTCCACCTTGAGTGCTAGAGGTTCGGGGTTCAATCCCCAGTAAGGGCAGGGATTTTTTCATGTGGACTTGGACTTCTGGTAATTCCCCGTGATCTCTGGGTAGTGAGATCGGACGCCCGTGTGCATTGTTGCGCACGTAAAAAATCGCTTGGCAGTTGGAAATCGAAAAGAGTAACCTAACGGTGTTGCCTGGGCAAAATTTTGAGTTAAAATTCTATCCAAAGTATGCACTGTGCTTAGCTTTTTCTGACTCATACTTGAGTTAGAAGAAGAACAGAGCACTTATGGGTTACTACCCGTGTGCCATGATGTTGATTCGTTGTTCAAACCTCAAACCTCTTCCAGGATTGCAGTCTGTACAATCAGTACCTCAGATATAGGCATCAAAAGATGTCGCATAGGCTGACAGTTGTAATTTTTCTAACATGAGATTGATTAAATTGACTACAGTCTATATTTGATTTTGTTTCATGTTTGGTTAGCTGTCAGGTGGGCCCCTGGTGTACACAAGTTTAAGGATCACTGGTCTTGACCTCCATTGCTTTCTGTCCTGTGCAGTCCTCACGATATCCAGTCCATTTCTTTTGGCATCTCTAAACAATGTCATAATTGTAACTGACTCACAGAGTCAGATGGAAACAGGCATGCTGCATACAGAGGGCAAGAATCGCTTCAGAGGTCCTGGGTAATTAGTGTCCTTTGGATATTTTCTCCAGGTCATGCCGTCGTGTTGAGAAATGAACAGGCAGATAGACTGGGCGCTTCTGCACCACTTGGTTGTGAATTGATGTATGACAAGCTAGATGTTGTGAGGGCCCTTTGGGAGCAAGGGAACAGTGCAGAGGCGCAGATAGATCATTATGGTCTGAAAAGAATGACGCTGCAAAGAGTTACCATGGGATCTGGTCAACACTCAGCACTCAGAAAAAAATATGAGACAGATATACAATCAGACAGTTACTGGTGCCATCATAATTAGAACTCTTTGCACGCTGCTGAAGATGGGGGACTGGAGCGCTTATGGGAGTGTCTCCAGTGCTGTAATGTTGATTCTTAATTCAGTGTTTAACAATGTTCATCTCAGATGTTGAATTTATTTTACTTTGTACTTCTCTACAGGTGGAGCATGTCCTGCCTTTGCTAAAGAAAGGAATTGGAATTCACCACTCAGGTCTTCTGCCTCTTCTGAAGGAAACAATTGAGATACTGTTCTCTGAGGGCCTTATCAAGGTTGTTACAGACCTTCATTGTTTGTCTGTGTTTCACACTCAGCTGATCATTATTATTATTATACTAACATAACTGGTTTCTAAGTGCTAAATTTATTGTTACACAATGTAAAGTAAAATAGGGAAAGCTTTAAAATGGTCTTTATTTCAATAGGTATATAATATTTCTTTGTCCACCCTTTATCCCCCAATGAATTACATCCTGCACGGCATTAAAAAAAATTATGTATCTGGTGACTCATGCCCTGTGACCTCAGTCACTGAAGCTTACAGGAAAATTTGAGGTCAACTAGGCTTTGAAGAAAAAAAGGTAGCAGGGTAATAGACCCCTCCCCAAATGATATTTTTAGTTACGGTATTCATATTATGGCCTGTTTAACACAAGCAACGAAGGCGCACATATAGCAGTGGAATTTAATTGCACTTTTCCAGAACTGGTCACTGCAGATATGGTCATATATTGCCATTTACAGGACTGTAGTACCTCTAATTACCTTTTACTGCATTTTGTTGGGGGGCATCCCCGTGTATGTTTCGGGGCCCTGTTATAGGGAAAACAAGAATAGGCCCACTGCCTACCCAAAAGCATGTCATAAGAGTTGACTAATTGGGAGCTTCCTTCGAAGCTGGAGTGCATCTGCCTGAGAGGCCAGGAACCAGCAGTCTGCATACAAATGAGTCGTCTGCATACAAATGAGTCAGATCTGTAAAACGGATGCACACGCAATACTCAGATTCTGAAACAGGACTGCAGTCCAGAAGTTGACGAACAACCAGAACTTTTTGCCAGAGTTTACAGCTGGTGAACGTGAAGAAGAAGAAGTTGGGGTTGATGGACAGCGGGAAGTTTATTTTTGAATGATTTTAGATTATGGAATGACATTGCTATGTCTTTGTTGTACACACATGACATATGTCAACTTTTACCTCCAGGCACTGTTTGCCACCGAGACCTTTGCCATGGGCCTCAACATGCCTGCCAGGACTGTGTTGTTTACTGGCTGTCGAAAATTTGACGGTCGGGATTTCAGAACGGTAAGTAAACATTAAAGGTCCCTTCTCATACCAGTGTTGTTTTGGGCATATGATAGTAAATTAAAAGGCACTTTTCCACTTCTTCAGGGCTTGTTGGTCACGCAGGGCTAGACCTTATTTTATAGACGCAGTCAGTACGTAGAGAGTGATGTGGTCAAAATCATGCCCTCATCTTTACCTCTCAGCGCTATCTGGTAGCCATTTGAGGTTTGCTCTGTCAGGGCCTGAACCAACGACCCACTCAGGTGAGCGTCTAGCCGCTGCTCCACAGTGGCTCCCTATTGGACGTATGTTGCAGCTCATATTTATATAGACTAATCAGCCTAAACAGGACATATGGTGCTATTCATAGTTTTATCGATCAATCAACCCTATTTTTGTGATATGATCAATATCACGTCAGCTGTCTTGACTTCTTGGGGCATTTCTTGATACCCATTTCAGGTTTGTTCGACCTGGGACTAAGTCACAAAACAGTAAGCGTTTGCCATAAAAATACACGAGAATTTTATGTCAGAGAGACTTGAAAGTTTTCTGTTTGTCACTTTGTATAATTGAGATATTAAAATATTGTTTGGAATTCTTCAGTTTATCTGTTCTTTTCTCTAGATCAGCAGTTCTCAACCTGTGGGTCGAATGACCCTTTTACATGGGTCACCTAAGACGATTGGAAAACACATGTTCAGTGAAGTTATGAAGTAGCAACGAAAATAATTTAATGGTTGAGGGCCGCCACAACGTGAGGAACTGTCTTAAAGGGTCGCAGCATTAGAAAGATTGAGAATAACTGCTTTAGATAATAGGTTAAAAAAAAAAATTAGAAATTAGTCATTTTAATAATCTTCGATTTTGTTGTATCTTTCTTCTTCGTACTCACCGACTGCAAACTCTGGCGGAAAGTTTAGGTCGTTCATCCACCTTTAGACCTAAGTTTTGTTACAAAACCTGAGTCTGTGTGCACATCCATTTTACAGATCTGGCCTTATTTGTATGCAGATGGTTGGTTCCATGCCTCTCAGGCAGTTGCACTCTGACTTCGAAGTTGACTTTTATGACATGCTTTTTGGTAACGACTTGTGAGATGAGAAGTTTGAGAAAAGCAGTCAACATAACAAGAAGAGACCATAAAGGAAAGGAAGATATCATGAGAATGGTGGGGAAAAGCACCTGTAAATAGATTTATTGACAAGGGAAGACTGAAGTGGTTTGGTCACCTGGCCAAAATGAACCCAACATCACTAGTTGCCAGAGCATACAAAATAAGAATGGAAACATCAAGAAACACAGGAAGGCCAGGAAGAAGATGTAAACTTGCTGAAACTCGACACTATCCCGGAACCGATCATCGGCCGTGCCTGCGATGCCTGACAGCATCAAGCAGAGAAAAGTAAATAAATGGTTCTCAACCTTCCTAATGCCACATCCCTTAAACACACTTCCTCATGTTGTGGTGACCCTCATTCATAAAATTATTTTGTTGCGGTTTTATAATTTCCGTGAATTTATGTTTTTTGATGGTCTAAGGCGACCCCTGTGAAAGCCTCATTTGACCCCTCAAAGGTTCACGACTCAGGTTGAGAATTGTAAAAGATAGATAGCATGTACAAACAAGATATTAACTGTAACTTTTAATAATCAGGTGACCTCTGGAGAATACATCCAGATGTCTGGGCGAGCTGGTCGGCGAGGTCTGGATGAAAGAGGTATTGTCATCATGATGGTGGATGAGAAGATCACTCCAGATGTTGGGAAAGTGATTCTAAAGGTGAGCTGTTTGTTTCCCCCTTCCCTAGTTTTTTTTCTAATGTTATTGTGAGCTTTCAACTGTTTGAGCATTAGTTATGGGGACTCAACTGTTGAATCTTTTCAGTCTTTTCTCTCAGCTAATTAATCTATTTAGTCATTTATTTCTACTGTTTAATCTTTTCAATAAGGAAATTTTCCCGTGTGGGGGTGGAACGGGGGGGGGGGGGGGGAGGGCGCTAGACCCACTGCCTACCCAAAAGCATTTCGTTAAGAGTTGACTGATTGGGAGCTTCCTTCGAAGTCGGAGTGCATCTGCCTGAGAGGCAAGAAACAGCAATTTGCACACAAATGAGTCAGATTTGTAAAACAGATGCACACGCAACACTCAGATTCTGGAACAGGACTGCAATCCAAAAGTAGATGAACAACCAGAACTTTCTGAGTTTACAGCTGGTGAACGCAAAGAAAAAGAAGAATAAGGAAATTTATGTTTGAGGATGGATGCTTGAGGAACCCAGCTGTTTATTTAATCTTTTGAATCATTTCTCTCATCTTATTACTTTTCATGCATATTTTTGTGTGTAAACAGGACTAAATCATAAGTTTTTGGATTGTACTGTGGGGGAACATTGTGGATTTTCATTGGCATAGGAAGGGAACAATAATTAGTTGACCCATTTGCAGTGCAGCCGAAACCTACACTATTGACTGCGGATTAATTTTTGCTATAATTTATCTCATCTGTGTAACCCTTTCACCCCAGAAACACTGGAATGAGGGGGTGGGGGGCTGCCTTCCTCGGAGTTCCCTTAAAAATTTTCTTTCTGAAGACAATTTTTACAGGTCCTTAATATATTTTTAAGCAATGGATTCAGCTAGTTTTATTCTTGAAAACTTTAAAGATTTATAAAGGGAATAATCAATAAACATGAACAGTGAGGTGTTAATTCAAGTACATTCCTGGGGGCCCTAAACAAATGTGTTGACTCATTCTTTGACTTGTAACCCTGAGGCCTTTGGAAAAATAGTGACACCATAATGGCTTTCAGAAAGCCATGCATCTTAATTATGTTACCTTGTCTCTACACAGGGAGAACCAGATGCACTGAACTCTGCCTTCCACCTGACATACAACATGGTGTTGAATCTGCTGAGAGTGGAGGAGATCAACCCTGAGTACATGTTGGAGAGATCATTCTTCCAGTTTCAGAACTATGCGGCTATACCTGAGCTGCTGGAGAGTAAGTTACTGTTCTTTGGAGACTACTGGGGACCAGTAACTTTTTAAAGTCTATCATTTCTTGTACTGGCTATACCTGAGTTACTAGAGAAAAAGTTACTGTTCTTTGGGCTCAGTCTTAGTCAACTGTCTACCGGCCATATTGAATACGACTCACCTGCTATACAAATGAAAGGCATTTGACATGATGCAGAAAAAAAAACAGCTAACAGTGCTGCACCAAGCACTAAACTCAGGCAGCGAAACTGTCAACTACTGTTCATATGTGGAAACTGCATTAGTAAAGCGCTGTCAGAAGCAAAAATAACTTCGAAGCTTAACATTCTGCCATGCCCTGTCCTCCATTTTAAACACGAACTTTGGATATAAAGAGTTACAGCAAGAACTGCTCTGTACTGAAAAGGTTAAGACAAAATTTTAATAAAATGTGTACACGGAAACTTGTTTGTTAATGAAACTTTCTTTCTCTCGCCATGATAGAACTTCAGAAGAAAGAGGCAGCCTACAAGGCACTGTCCGTTGAGGATGAGGATTCTATCTCGGCCTACTTCCGTATCCGACAGCAGCTGGACTCACTGGCTAGAGAACTGAAACATTTCATTCTGAAGCCGGCTTATCTGTTGCCCTTCTTACAGCCAGGGAGGGTGGTCAAGGTAAGTTAATGCAGTGCCTTTGCTCATTTTGGTTTTACTTTTTTTTGGGGGTTTCTTTCAGTGTGCATCCTCTTCAGCATTAGCATCTTTTCATTACCACTTTGCAAAAGTTTGTTTTAGTTCTTTCTCTTAGCAGCTTTGTTTTATTTCTTTCCCTTAGCTTTGTTTTAGTTCTTTCCCTTAGCTTTGTTTTAGTTCTTTCCCCTAGCTTTGTTTTATTTCTTTCTCTTAGCTTTGTTTTAGTTCTTTCCCTTAGCTTTGTTTTAGTTCTATCCCTTAGCTTTGTTTTAATTCTTTCCCTTAACTTTGTTTTAGTTCTTCCCTTAGCTTTGTTTTAATTTTTTCCCTTAGCTTCGTTTTAGTTCTATCCCTTAGCTTTGTTTTAATTCTTTCCCTTAACTTTGTTTTAATTCTTTCCCTTAGCTTCGTTTCAATTCTTTCCCTCAGCTTCATTTTAGTTCTTTTCCTTTTTGTGATTTTGTCCTGCCATTTCATTTTTTCTATTCATCTAGTTTGTCAGCATGTGTGGCCTAGGCATTGCAAATCTACTTCATAATTCAAAATACCTGATTCAATTCCAGCTGCAAACAATTTGGTAGCAGATCGCTTTGTTTTGATTTTGACAGTGAGATGCCGACTGTTCATGAAGCAGTGGGAGATAAAACTGCTTAGTGCTTAGTAAAACCAGGCTAAAAAATGCTGGGGTTAATTGTGATATCATGTAAAGGATATGCAAGTAAAAAAAAAAATATCTATGTAGACACCACTCAGTGGATTTCTTTTTCTTTTTTTCGTTTACCTTAAATAAGTTGTCTCATCATCATCATGTGCCCTGCCAACTGGCATAGGCGTTCATGCATCTCCACAGATCAGGATGCCTGGTTGTCTGGAACAGCTCTGATGATATCTCTCCATGCCATCGTTTCAGCCCATTCAGCATCATCTCTCTCGGTCTGCCTCTACTCCTTTTCCCACTGATCTTTCCATTTGTCATGTTGTTCTCCAATGTCTCTCTTCTCATTACGTGGCCAACGAACAGTGTTTGCCTCTTTCTTATTGTTGTAAGTAGAGATTTACTTTCATTAGCTTCTTTCAAACAATCGTTAGTTACTCTTGCTGTCCAAGGTATTCGTAACATTTGTCTTAGAAACCACACCTATGTTGCTTCCAAATTCTTTTTAATCTATTCACTGACATTCCAAAATTCGCTGCCATACAGCAGAACAGGTTCTGTGAAACATTTTAGCACTCTCTTTCTGACATTAAATGAAAGCGATTTATGTGGAAGTTGTCTATATCAGCAGTTTTGTATCTCATATACTTTTCACTATTCATGGCATGTGTGCTGGCATCCTGATTGCTGTGATGCTCCTCCTGGCTCGTTACCTCCGACTTCAGCAACTTGTTTTGCTAAAGTAGACTGCGATCATACTTGAGGAGCTGTCTGTTTTTACTGCACCAGATACTCACAGTCGCCCCTTCTCCTGTAGGTTTAAACAGTTCCGCTACAAAAAGGCTAGGAGTTAGACTTTAATTGTCAGAGGTGATAAATGCACATGCCTTGGGGGCACAACCCCTGTCCCCCAGCTATGACAGCATGTTGAAACCACCTAAGGAATGTTTGTAGTTTACTTGTAATTATTTTACTCGCTATCCCTGTTTCTCCTTCATATAGCAGTGATTAGTTAGTATTATAACTAAATTTTCAAAGTTTAATGTGAGTTTTAATTTGATGTCCTGGGTGAGTTGATTCAAGAACTGACATCACAGCACTTGGGGCTTTCCTATAAACGCTCCGTCATGTTAATGTCCTTGTTGAATGAAAGTTCCTCTCATCTTTTGGTTTGTTATTTTTTTAATATCTCTTTTCTCCACCTAAATTGCTACTTATATAGGTAAATGACTACTAGTGCCAGTATTGATTTATAAAACTGCATGCTCTTAAGCTGGGTCTGGTCATTAGCTTGCACATGTTAACTTGGTGATAAGGCACTAAGTGAAAGAAGTAAAGTAAGGACACTTTCCATGCCTTCACGCGTAAAGGGCTAGACCTATATTTTATAGACCAATCGGCACTCGGTTGGTGATGTGCTATGCCGGCCTTCTTCACTTCCCAGAACTCAACCTGGTACCTGTTTAAAGTTGGGTTGATCTGGTAGCCAAAATTTTTTTGGGGAAGAAAAAAAATCTGGCTGTAATAGGACTTGAATCCACAGGTGAGCGTACAGTCGCTACATCTTAGCGGCTCCCCATTAGGCAATAAGCCATCTGTGGAAGTCAAAGGACATCAAAACTTGCACGAAACAGAATATTTAATACTAAATCGTAATTATTGCATGAAGCAGAAACGTAGACAGAGTAAAACAGTTATGAGTAAAATGCAACTTTTACATTCTAGGTGAAGTTTTTGTAGCTATGAACCATGTAGCTTCATGATCTAAAAATCTGGGAGAACTGACTTGTAAATAGCATCCTGCCCATCTTCTTATTCATCGCATCCACCGGCTATAAACTCTGGCAGAAAGTTCTGGTTGTTCATCCACTTCTGGACTGCAGTCCTGTTCCAGAACCTGAGTGTTGCATGAGCATCTGTTTTACAGATCTGACTTAACTATATGCAGACTGCTGGTTCCTTGCCTCTCAGGCAGATGCACTCTGACTTTGAAGGCAGCTTGCAGTAAGTCGACTCTTATGACCCGCTTTTGGGCAGGTAGTGGGTCTGTTCTTGTATTTTTCCCGTAACAGGGCCCCGGAACCATCCTGCCCTGAAAGCTGAGTTCTGCAAAGGTGGAAACAGGCCAGTAAAGATGCATTGGCTATGAAGGTGCGTAAGGCTGAAGAATTGGCTAGAGAAAAAGATTGTCAGCCACCATGTGATGAGAGCATCAGTCCTTTGAGAACCTGCTGATTGCTGATGAGCTGTAGAAGACATAACATCGTGTTGAAACTCTGATTGATAGTTTCTCTGTTTTTGTAACTGCAGGTGAAGAATGAAGACTTAGACTTTGGATGGGGAGTGGTTTTAAACTTCCACAAGAAGATGGACCAGTCAGCGGTAAGTTTAACCAAACTGTGGCTTTAACCGAAATTTTGACCAAATGTGCTCTGATTGCTCTGCTGATGTGTTTACTTTAGAGCTGTTGGGTTGGCTGAAGGAGTTACCGGAAGAGATGAGGTCATAAGAGAGTGTCGGCAAAAAAGCTATTCTAAATTATGTACAAAGACAGAAAATCAAATGGTTAGTCCAATCAGAATGTTTTGTGATACCGTACCATAGAAGATACACGGCAAAAGAGGAGGATGATGTAGATGTAGAGCATGAGGTAGACCCTTATGGAAAGATAACATCAGATAAACTCTACAACAGCACGATGTGTCTATGGTCGCAGTGGTCAGAAGAGCAAGAAGCGCAGAACTTTATTTCTTCATCAATACCTGAAGTGGTAAAAGAGGAACTGAATAAGAAGGAGGATGCTTTGTGGTATATTAAGTATGTAATGCAAGCCCCATGGTCTCAGACCAGTTGGTGCTCTGTCGGTGATGTTGACAGTATATATTTTCAAGAACATTCCCTGTCAGCCATTTTTAGGTTTGATCACGTGGCTTCTGTTGCTCTATTTTGGAGAATAGACACACTATGCCATTTGTTGGGCTCTAGACATGTGATTAACAAAAAAAAGAATTCCTTTTGCATGCTTTACTTCACGCACACAATCGGCACATGCTGAAATTGGCAGAAGCTGTCACAATAGGCATAGATAACCCCATACAATGCAAATCAAAATACAGGTTGGTCATTTGAAAACTACCATGGTAACACCAGTGGTAACAACCTGTGTGGGTTCCAGTACCTCATTGTAGTGAAAACAAGAATAGACCCACTGCCTGCCCAAAAGCATACCGTAAGAGTTGACTTAAGGGGAGCTTCCTTTGAAGTCGGAGTACATCTGCCTGAGAGGCAAGGAACCAGCAGTCTGCATGTATATGAGTCAGACCTTTGAAACTGATGTACACACAGCATTTCATTTCTGGAATATGACTAGAGTCCAGAAGTGGACAAACAACCAGAACTTTCTGCCGAAGTTTAAAGCCGGTGAACGCGAAGAAGAAGAAGACTAATGGTAACTGCTATTGAAATACATGACTGTGTGTGTGTGTTTTATATTTCAGCCAGAAGGATTCATTGTGTTGATTTAAAAAAAAAATGTTTTTTAATTTTATAGTTTGAACCTGACAAGATACAACAAAATATACCAGGCAGTAAATTGTTGCAGTCGGTTGTATCCATATTTATTATTCAGTTTTAATTCTTTATCATTGACATTTCATAAATTATGCATTATTAAAAAAAAATAGTATTTTTGGACAGGCAACAGATGAGACTGGCACCCTGTACGTTGTTGAAGTCTTGCTCAATTTGACAAAAGACAGTTTGAAGTCACGTAATGCATCAGACATTCGGCCTTGTCCTAAAGGAGAAAAGGGAGAGATGCAGGTATGTTGCATGACAGTGTTGTTAAAACCTTTTGGTAGCTCGTGTTTTTTATGTAATGGAATTCAGTTATACTAATTAGTGACAAGTGCACAGGCCTGCCTGCAGCAGCTCTGGGTTCTTTTTCTCTTGCCTTGTTGACATTCATGATTGCAGTAAAAATCATAGGATGCTTTTAATGACATGGTCCTGGCTTTTCTTCTTCTCCTCCTCCTTCTCCTCCTTCTTTTTCTTCTTCTCCTTCTTCTTCTTTTTCTTTTTAGTGATAACTGGCTGTACATAAACTCTGGCAGAAAGTTCTGATTTGTCCGTTAACTTCTGGACTTAACCCTGGTCTTGTTCCAGAACTTGACTTTCACGTGCACATCTGTTTTGACTTCTGGTCAAAATGGATGCTAGGCATGGCCACTGTTTGGATCCGCGGCCAATTTTTTGCTTCTGTCAGACGGTGGCCGTTGCATTTTTTGCTCCATTTGTCGACTGAAATTATATAGTTTCGTCGCCCAGCTTCTAATTTAAGTGCATTATGTGACACTGTGAGCTGCAGATTTAATTTTGAGTGTTTTTAGACTGGGACCAACGTGGTGGGGTGAATTGTAGATTCAGAAAATGGCACGATGCCTGTTGTCGCAATATTGGTGGTGCCATTATGTAATTAAAATTGATCGTTTGTGAAACTGCTGATCTGTTGGTGACTTCTACAACCATCCATGAAGAACTGCATTTCTAATGTTGGACTGTTTGTGTTAGCACTTCTGATGGCTACCGTAGGCTTTTAATGCATGTTTGTGCTAGTGCATATGCTGAGACAGCAGTCTGTCAATCTTCCCACAAGGGACTGTGATCAACATTCGGTGTGTTTTTCATATGCACAGGAGCGGAGCAACTATGGGGTGACCCATTTGCTATGAAGCTGAAACTAAGATTACCAGATTATTTTACACATCTGATCTATCTGTAAACAGACAGTAGGTTCCTTGCCTCCCAGGTAGGTGCACCCTGACTTTGAAGCAAACAGCCCTAATTAGCCCTCATTTTAGGACATACATATTAAGGGTGCATGGGTCTTTTTTAAATCCCTAAAACGGGGCCCAGGAATCCACACAGGAATGGTTGACGTCCGCTTTTTACTGTCTTGGGACATACAGCCTGTAAACATTTGTGGGGGGGGGGGGGGGGGGGGGGGGGGGGGTTGGGGGGCGGGTGAGCGGTCTCGGGGGCGTGGCGTCTACCTCGAGTACTGGAGGTCCCGGTTTTAGGCTCTGGTGAAGGCTGGGATTTTTTGTTCTCACATGGACTTCTAGTAATTTCCCCTAGTCTCTGGGTAGTAAGATCGGACGCCACATGTATTGTTGCACACGTAACGGGGAATAGAAATTGACCAGAAGTGTAGGATTTGTGGTTTCTTAGGGCAAAAGAGTTAAACAGGTCTCTTGATGTTGTTTACAAACACACCTGTCACATTGTCTTCCTTTTACATGCTTCCTCTGCACCCTTTCTCTTTGGAACATCCCTTCAACTGAGAGCTGTGTGCTTTGAAGCTTTCCTATACTTTCCTGTTATCAGAGTATTTTAATAACGAAGTCAAATAACAATTTTGTATTTTAGGTTGTTCCTATCCTGACACGCTTGCTTGATGCAGTAAGCGCCATCAGGCTGTACATCCCCAATGACCTGAGATCTCCAGACAGCAGATTTTTGGTTTTCAAGTCATTGCAGGTAAGTTAAATGCAGATTGATTTAGAAAAGGTATTGAGATGAGGGAGGGAGGGAGGGAGGGATGGATCGCCTGCTGTCTGGTGCAGCATTCTTTATTATTTATTACAATTTTTAAGCTAGTACTCATGTACTGACTGACTGACTTTCTTCCCCACCAGGACATCACACAAGCGATAAACACCAGATGACAAAGTGCCACCATGTGGGTGAGGATCACAGTGGAGAGGTCCCAGAAACCGGGTTCAGCCATTAGGCCATATTTATGGCTGGGCTATATTGCAGCACCTGGCAAGAGTCAGAGTAGGGCTTCAAATAACGAAAAATTGCATCCTAAAAAGGACGGGAAGTGATTATTAATTACTGACTGACATTCAATCCCACCAGGACATCACACCAAACGATAAACACTCGGTGACACAACGTGCAACCATTCGGATGAGGATCACCGGTTGACTGGTCCCAGAAACCCTATTAAATTTTCCAATTCCAATTTTTTAGAAACAAAAAGTCTAAACATGATCCTTTGTCAGTCGCCCTGCTAATTGAAGGGAGGTTCCTTGGCTATCTTATTTGGTGTCCCACTAACTCAGCCACCAGATCTGTAAAATAGATGAGCACACAAAACTCAGGTTCTGGAATGTTCATCCCGAAGTGGACAAAGGACCAGAACTTTCCACCAGAGTTTACAGCCGACGAACACCAAGAAGAAGATTGCTTGCTATAAAAGTAGTAAAGTTAAGGTCATTTCTCCTGGCCTTTAGGCATATAGGGCTAGACCTATATTTTTTAATAGACCAAAAGGTACAAGATGGGTGATGTGGTCAGCATCATGCCGGATGCCTTTACTTCCTGGGACTGCACCTGGTACCCACTCAGGGCTGGGTCTACCTGGGAGTCAAGGTTATTTAAAAAAAAAGTCTGGCTCAATTGCTTGTAGACTGCAAGTAAAATGGAAATCTTGTAACAATGGGTGTTATTTAACAGAAAATGATGTTTTCCTTAGTGAAGAAATAAAAGTCTTGATTTTATTTTTGTTCCAGGAAGTAGAGAAAAGATTTCCAGATGGCCTCCCTTTATTGGACCCAGTAGAAGACATGGGGATCAAAGATAAAACACTTGGAGATACAATCAAGGTGGGAGCATTGGCTGTTTTCTTAGCTTCACTAGTGATATTTGTATTGCATTCATTACTTCCTGGCCTATGATCTGATCTCATTTATTTGTCTGTTCCATTCATTAACTCCTTTCAGCTGATTGATCTCAAATGTAAATCTGTTTCTTTCATTATCTTTTTTCCAGCTGACCTGATCTCATTTTTGTTTCAAATTCAATCATTACTTTCTTTCAGCTGATCTGAACTCATTTATATATCTTCCATTCATTCCCTTCTTCCAACAGATCTGGTCTCAATTATATATATATATATATATATATATATATATATATATATATATATATATATATATATATATATATATATATATATATATATATATATATATATATATATATATATATATATAAAATTTTCCATTCTCAATTATATATACCTATATATGTTCCATTCATTCCCTTCTTCCAGCTGATCTGGTCTCAATTATAAATACATATATATGTTCCATTCATTCCCTTCTTCCAGCTGATCTGGTCTCAATTATATATACATATATATGTTCCATTCATTCCCTTCTTCCAGCTGATCTGGTCTCAATTATATATATATAAAAATGTTCCATTCATTCCCTCCTTCCAGCTGATCTGATCTCAATTATATATGTGTTCCATTCATTACTTTCTTCCAGCTGATCTTATTCATCGATGTGCCATGAATTATTTCCTGGCAACTCATTAAATCTATTCCATTCATTATTTTCTAAAATCTTTTCTGATTCATATATTTGTGCCATTCATTACTTCCTGACATCTTATCTGATTCATATATCTGTCATTCATTACTTCATGATATCTTATCTGATTCATATATCTGTGCCATTTATTACTTTATGATATATCTGATTCATATATCTGTGCCATTCATTACTTCATTCATTACTTTTGATATCTTTTATGATTCATATATCTGTTTCATTCATTACTTCCTGGCATATCTGTACCATATTTTTTACTTCCTGGCCTAACTGTTGAGTGTCCACATACTAGCCTCGTGTTAAAGACTTACGTCTGTTTAGCAAGTCTCACGTTTCTAATACTTAAATCTTTTTTTTTTTTTTTTTTCATTTCTGTTCTACTTTAGAAAATTGAGGCTTTTGAGCAGCGTCTGTATTCTCATCCTCTTCACAAAGACAGCAGGCTGACAGAACTGTATGACCAGTTTGAGAAGAAGGCTAAGGTAAGCGTTGTGTTGTTTTGTTTATGTCTTTGTAGGGATGTTGTCTATTTTTTATGTCATAAAGAGTTTGCATGGATCAAGAAAAAGACAGATTCTGACATTCTACGATATCTTACCAGCTACGATTATGAAACAGTATCATGTTTTAAAGCTAATGGTGAAGGCTACCTCAGGCAACAAATGTCCGAAGAAGACGGACATGGCTTGAAGTTTCAAATATCGTAGCCATACTGTCGACAAGCACAACACACTTATGTCCTCGGATAAACACAGAAAAAGAAGAATATATCAGCCATATTACAGTGGACTGCTTCTTCTGGATTTGCCCTAAAAAGTGCAGTTGACATATTGGGTTGTAGTTTACAGCTAAGCCATCATAACTGCACTTTTCGGCTCAAAAATTAACCTTTAACCTTTAGTCGCTTATTATGACAAGCTTGTTAAGGGACCCTGGGTATGTTCTTTATTTCCCATAGAATCGGGCCATAGAACTAACATTGGAGATCTGTGTTGTTGACAAGTCTTTTTTTTTTAATAAGTCATTTTTGTTGTTGATAAGTCTGTATTGTTGATAAGCATGACTTGAATGATATATGTATGCATTTTGCTGAACATCGTTTGTTAACAGATTGCCAGTGACATCAAAGATCTGAAACTGGAGCTCAAGAAGAAGAAGTCACTCCTGCAGATGGACGAGTTAAAGTGCCGCAAACGTGTCCTGAGACGCATGGGTTACTGTACCGCTTCAGATGTCATTGAGGTCAAAGGAAGGGTTGCCTGTGAAATCAGCAGGTAGGTCTTAAACATACGGATATTAATCTTTATCTTTCCTTTATCATTTGAATTATTTTATTTTTGACTGCTTATTAAGAAAAAGCTTTTGGTTCTAGCGGGCTGAGTGGCTGGCCGCCTTCTCCTGTTTCTAATATGGCAATAGTTTTAAGTATCTGTTTGCTGTTTGATTATATTTTTAAACACCCTTTATTGAGTTTTTGACAATATCTTGATAAGACGTACCTGAATAAATATTTTGGCACAAGTGCTAGAAGGAATCTTTTGATAAGACAAGTAAATGAATGAATCTTTTGACAAGACAGATACATGAATGAATCTTTCGATCAAACATGTACATGAATTAATGTGTTGATAAAATAAATAAGTATAGGAATAAATCTTTTGATAAGACAGTTTCTGGAATGAATCTATTGATAGACAAGTACATGAATAAATTTGTTAAGACCAGTACATAATACATTTTTTGGGAAAACCCATTTCTTCTTAATCTCCTTATTCACTTACCATCTGTAGACTTCAGCAGAAAGTTCAGGTTGTTGATCCACCTCTAGACTTTAGTCTCGTTCCAGAGGCTGAGCTTTGCCTGTATGTTTATTTTACAGATCTCGCTTATTTGTATGCACTGTTGGTTCCTCGCCGCACAGGCAGTCCAGTTTTGTAGGAAACATCCCTAAGTTAGTCAGCTCTTAAGACATGCTTGTTAGGGGCAAGGTGTCTATTTTGTCTTCCCCCAATGGGGACCCAGACAAGGAAAAACACATTTGAAAAAGTCTTTTGGCAAAACATGCAAATTAATCTTGTTATGAGACATGTATGTGAATAAATCTTTTTATAAGATAAGTATGTATATGAAAATTTTTTATGGGACAAACATGTAAATAAATTTTTTGGCAAGATAGGCACATGATTTATCTCTTTCAAGAAATCTGTTTCATGTGTCCTACTGCTTATGCCGTAAAGCACCACAGAGAGAAGTTCGATGTAGTTTTCTGTCTCTTGCTAGTTGTGTCGCTTGTGATGTCACATTGCAGTTCTGTTATGTCTTTTTTACTTCCTCCTCCCATATCTTTCTTGGTCGACCTCTTGCCTTGTGGCCTGCTATTCTCTTGTAGCACACTTTAACTGCTAGCTGAACTAGTTTTGTTCTGTTAGGTGATGAAGCCATTTGATTCTTTGATGTTCTGTGAAATCATAAACAATACTGTATCCACTGCTCTTTCTTAGTTCTTTATCATTGGCTCTGTCCCTTGTTTTTCTGCTGTCTTTCTTATACATAGGTTGCAGTTTTGTGTATGTTAGTCTAGGACTGTCCGTGCCCAGTATTGATAGCACAGAGTTGGTAAACCACGTAAATAAATCTGCTGATAACACTTGTATGTTTATGTATGTGTGCATGCATGCCTGCGCGTGTGAGTGAGCGAATGCATGGGTAGATAAGATATATATGTGTGGGTGTGTGCGCGTGTGCATGCATTTTATCGTCCATGCTTTTTTGTTTTTCCTTGATATTCTTATTATGCTTATTGTTAAATAAACATAACCTGCTTTATTAATCAAATACAACTGCTGTGTGAAAATGGGTAATTGAAAGGGCCTAATGTAAGATGGGCCTGCCTGCCCAGTTTGTGGCCCTTTGAAAATTAGGTACGCTTGTTCGTACATATAGAGCATTTATCAGCTTCTTTTCTTTGGTGAGCATGTTTCCACGAACAAGGTACGTTAATTAAAACATGTTTGTATACTTCCAGTGGGGATGAACTGCTGCTGACAGAACTGCTGTTCAACGGTGTCTTCACTGATTTAACCCCGCAACAAGCGTGTGCTCTCATTAGTTGCTTTGTATTCCAAGAAAAGGCTTCGGAGATGCCAAAGTTGGGTGAAGAACTCGCAGGACCACTCAGAATTATGCAGGTTTGTAGTCAGCTCCAGATAAATTTAACTGAATCAGTTGGTGAGGAAGTGATGCTGGTGTGGGATAGGACATGTTGAGAAAACTGAGAGCTATATAGCTTGAAGGGTTTTACACTGGAACCCACAGTGGTATTGAAATACAGACAGAACCCCTGTGGTAGATCTATGTTTTAATCCTTGCTAAAATATGGGTTTTTCTGTCAGGAAAAGATATTCTAACCTGGGAAATTTGTGGTAACTGCACTAGCCATGTGCCCTAAATCCCCAGGCTTAAAGCATGAGCCCTTAACTCTTTGAGTCCCAGGGGTTTAGCATGACATGCCCAAGGGGTAGTCAAAAGAGATGTAAAATTGGCGCATCTTGCATTCATTGGGCTTGCTTCTAGGTAGGAATCTATGAATGTATGATGCACTCCTTGGGACTCAAAAGAGTTAAGTTCTGGTTATTCAACCACTTATAGACTTTATTCTTGTTTCAAGCATTAAGTTTTATTTGCACATCTGTTTTACAGATGTCGCTGATTTGGATGCAGACTTTTGGTTCCTTGCCCCTCAGGCAGATGCACTCAAAGGAAAAAACCCCTAGTCACCTTTAATTACATGACCCCCCCTTCCAAGCCGACACAGCCTTGAGTGGGTACTGGGTGCAGTCCCGGTAAGTAGAGGCGGACGGCGTAATGCTGGCCACATCACGCATCTTGTGCCATTGGTCTATAAAAATATAGGTCTAGCCCTATATACCCTATATGCCAAAAGGCGTGGAAAGGGTCCTTTACTTTTTTTTTTCAACAGGGCAGTAGGTCTAGTATTTGTTTCCTAGCATGGGGTCTCAGAACCCAGACTGTGAACGTCTGTATTGTTAAGGACAGCTGAGTATTATGTTAGAGATAACCAGTCTGGATTGTCTTTATGCAGGACACAGCCCGGCGCATTGCCAGGATCAGCAGAGAGGCCAAGTTGGAGCTGGACGAAGAGGTCTATGTGGACTCCTTCAGACCTCACCTGATGGACGTAGTCAATGCTTGGTGTAATGGCGTCAGCTTTGCTCAGATCTGTAAAATGACAGATGTTTTTGAAGGTAAATCTGCCTTTTTCATACGTCATTGTTTTTGGAGGTGTTTGTCCTGGCTTGGTACCTATATTCTTTGAAAATAAGTTGTGCTTTTTCATACATTATTGTCTTGGAAGGCAATCATTCCATTTTCAGGATATCATCATCTTTGAAGGCAATCATTCCTTTTAAAAAAAACAACTATATTATTATCTTTGAAGGCAATCATTCCATTTTCAGGACATCATTAGCTTTGTCTTCTTTTTTAATTAAAAAAAATATGTTATTATCTTAAAAGGCAATCATTCCATTCACATACATTATTAACTTAAAAAGGCATTTATTCAATTTTCACTATTATGAAGGGACTTATTCCATTTGTATAGGTCATTGTCTATGAAAGCGAATATTCTGTTTTCACACATTATCTTTAAATGAAATTATTATATTTTTTTAAATCATGAAGTTGATGATTCCAGTTTAGAACATTATTATTTAAGGCAGATCATCTTTAAAGGCAATTATTCCATTTTCATACATCATCTTTTAAGGCAGTCATTCAATTTTCATACATCATCTTTAAAGGCAATTATTCAATTGTCATACACAATCTTAAAAAGCAATCATTCCATTTTCATTCATTGTCTTTGAAGGCAATCATCCCGTCTATATAAAAAAAGGTCCACCAGTAAATGCAAGTTTTTTTTAAACATTCTTTGCATGTTTTGTATGTTTATTTAGGAAGCATAATCCGAGCCCTGAGGCGACTAGAGGAGACCCTGAGACAGATGGTTCAAGCTGCCAAGGCTATCGGCAACACTGAACTGGAGAATAAATTCTCTGAAGGTATATTTAGGGATTTTGTTATTTAAGTATTTTGTTGTCATAGTTTTATGTAGGTGGATGATTCTCCTAGTTCTTCTGAAAGAAAATAGGGGCCTTTGAGCTGAAATGCTTTAGAAAGATTCTCAGAATATCATGGACAAAGAAGAGAACTACTGACATTGTAAAATCTAGGAAGATTGGCTGATAAACAGCATATTATCTCAGAAGCTGAAATATGGTCATAGCAAGCGCCAAGGCAGATTGGGAAAAAACAGTAGCAGAAGGCATGGAATCAGGAAGGATGACCAGCACAAAGATGGGCTTAAGATATAAGTGACTCCATGAGTATCTTCTTCTTCTTCTTGTTCACTGGCTGTGAATTCCGGCGGTAAGTCGCAGTTGTTCGTCCAAATAGACTTTTGGCTTTTACCTTGACCTGAGTTTTGCGTGTACATCCGTTTTACTGGCTTATTTGTTTGCAGTTCTCGTTCCCCGCCTCTCCGGCAGATGTACTCCGACTTCGAGGGAAGACGTCAAGCCTATTTCTGTGTAGACTGTGGCCATTGTTTTGTGTGGGTCGAGATGTTGCCTCATTTGTGTGGTGTCCTCTTTGACCTATAACAGGTGTGGCCCCTGGAATATCGTCCTTAAGGCAGCCCTAGGTAGAATTGTCAGGGGCAGATCATGGGCATTCCCCGCCATCCAAGGAGGCTTCCATAAATGCAGAGCCGACACATGATGCTCTGGTTCTGGGCTCACCCAAGGAATCGTCACGTCCTGCCCATGACTGCTTAACCTCACAACCGTGTATTGAGCTTCCCGCGCTACAAGGCTGCACTCTTCGGAGATCAGCGGGGAGCGGCCCGCAGGTCCAGGACTTTTTCATCGCACGTCAGACACCTTTAACGTTGTTTCAGTTGTGCCCTTAGCACGACAGAATGGGGAAGCAAAATGCGTCAGGCGTGGCTTCACCTGTTTGGTTCCAACACTCGGGCGAGTGGGACCAGTGGATACGGACATTTTGGACTTTTTCCTAATTGGTACGAATTATGATCGTCGGACTTTGAGCTTGCATGTGTGCCGTGGGGTATAACTTTGTCGGACATTATTTCCTAGCCAGCATATGAAAAGTTGCTGCCGTGGTGTACCTCAGCGCGGTGACGACGACACTGAGGATTGACAGAGGATGTACGTAGGTAGGATCTTGCTGCGAGAAGTCGCCCACAAGAGATGTTACTCGTCTTGGCTGCGGGTAAATCTTTCGGTCAGGGTTGAGTCTCAGCAGCACAGTTTTCCATTTGCTCCCGAATTTTAACCGAGAGTTGTCATTTGATGGTACATTTAGCAAGCAATCCTTGAGTTTTGTTAGACTCGTTTGGGGGCGGGCTGGTGAGAGCCAGAAAGGACACTACTCCTCTAGGGGCCGCCAGCTCCGAGTCCCCTGCCAACCCTGTTAATGCTCATTTGAGACATTATCCGTGGCGCACGACGGGGACGTGCAGCAGGAGTCTTGCATGAGGTTCCGTAAAATCAGAACAGTGAAGGGCTGGCGCCTGAGTGGAGTACGGAGTATCTCCTTATACGCATCACATCAGACTTAACTTTGCCTCATGCCTGTGACCGAAATCACCGCGCCACACTCCATGAGTATGAAAATGCATGAGGTGGGAGAGCTGGCGAGAGACCGAGTTTCTTTCAGGGAGACTGATGAGAGCGACATTTTTCAAAGGACCTGCTACACTTGATGATGGTGTGGATGATTTTCTGTACACCACAAACAGTCATTAACAGGTGCCTACATTGGATCGAAGAAATTGAGGGATAAAAAAAAAGAGAATGTTGAGTCTTAGCAGAGAACTAAACCCACTAATTTTAGAGGTGAGGAGAAGACCGTGATGCTGGATAGGACACAGTGAGAAAATCTTGTAGTTTAACTAGAATGTCTTTTCACAGAAACTCACAGAGTAAAAGAGAGGGATGGAGACCTAACATTTGGAAGAACATAATTAGAGACAGTTGAATAATATGATGTTTAGAGAACAGACTTTAATGTTCTGGGTTTTATCCTATGTGGTTTATCATCACCCACAGAGCACCCGGTGATCCGTGAGAGAATTGCATGGACAAAATGTGTAGCTCCCAAAGCAATGACTAGGAATCCTTTAAACATCTGCTCCTGTGAACCGAAGGACTCCCCTTGTGGGTTTCGAGGCCCCATTGGGGGAGGGGGGGGGGAGAACCCAACTACCCCGCCAGCAAGCATATCTTAAAAGTAGACTTATTATGGGTGTTTCCTTTAGAATCAAAGTGCATCTACTTCAGAGTTGAGAAACCATCAGTCTGCTCACAAATAAGCCAGATCTGTAAAACAGATGTGCATACAGAAGTCAAATTCCAGAACAAGATAAAGTCCAGAAGTGGACAAACAACCAGAACTTTCTGCCAGAGTTTACACATGTTGAATGTAAATAGCATAAGAACTGAAGGACATTTAACATTGAACCCACAACCTCCACAGCACAAAGCAAACAAATTAACCACTCCACTGTGGAGACACTTCCCTACTTTCATATACCACCCATGGTGGCCTGTGATTGTATTGTGCCTTCCTTTGCAAAATAACATAACATTCTTCTCTAACTCAAAACTTTTTTTTTTTCAGGCATCCGTATGATCAAGAGAGATATTGTGTTTGCTGCCAGTTTGTATTTGTAGACCAGTCTTGAGTTTTTTCCCCAAGCCATTTTAATTGTTTCAGGCATTTTTTTACCTATCACTTATTTGTGGTGTACATCAGTATACATTACTTGATCATGGACATCACATTTTAACAATCACATTTGAAGAAATGTAGCATCTGCCAATGTAATCTGTGGTTGCCTGGAGTACATTTTGAGAATAAAGGAATTTATTGAAACAATTCACCAGATTTTATCATTTTATAGCTTGTTTTAGACTGGCTTGCTTTCATCTGCAATTTGGAGGTTTCTTCTTGTTGTGATTACTTTCTTGATTGACATAGACAAGATCGTCTGGTAAAATTGACCATGAGTTCGTCTTTAGTCTTTCTCTAGAGCTTTGAATCTGGCGTTGACTAATAAATAGGTCAGTATTGCCTTGATGGGCTGTACAAGGGAAAATCTTGAGGGACTCTAGGGGACACATTTTGTAGTTTGTAGGCACAGCCTGTTCATAATGGTGAAGCAATTCCAAAGAAGAAGCATGCGATTATAGGTTGAGTTTATTTTGCCCTTACCTGAGGCTTAGAGTGATAACCTGCCCATTCTGGTCAAGTAAATGGTAGTCATCTCTGGTTACAGAGAGCTCTGGTTACAGAGAGCTCTGGTTACAGAGAGCTCTGGTTACAGAGAGCTCTGGTTACAGAGAGCTCTGGTTACAGAGAAGTAGGGAAGTGTCTCCACAGTGGAGTGGTTAATTTGTTTGCTTTGTGCTGTGGAGGATGTGGGTTCAATGTTAAATGTCCTTCAGTTCTTATGCTACTTTACATTCACCATGTGTAAACTCTGGCAGAGGCTCGACTTCTTGCACCAGTTTTACCCCATGTGGCTTGGTCTCTTCCCACAGAATGGCTAGCCGCCTGCTGAGAGCATGGTACCAAGCACAAATACTGTAGCTCCGGTGAGGATCTCCATGGGTCTCCATAAAAAATTGTACTCGTAAATCAAATGAGGCAGCTGAAATCTTCTTCTTCTTCGCCTTCACCAGCTGTAAACTCCGGCGGAAACTTCTGGTTGTTCGTCCAGTTCTGGACTGCAGTCCTGTTCCAGAACCTGAGTGTTGCTTGTGCATCCGTTTTACAGATCTGACTCATTGGCATACAGACTGCTGGTTCCTTGCCTCTCAGGCAGATGCACTCAGTCTTCAAAGGAAGCCCCCAATTAGTCGACTCTTACGACATGCTTTTGGGTAGACAGTGGGTCTATTCTTGTTTTCCCCACGATGTGGCTCCGGAACCCAGACGGGTAGCAGCTGAAATGAAGCCATAACCTTCAGTGCGTGCCGCAAATGGTGTGGCCATGGAGACCCCTTCCCCAACACCTCCTCTGGCACTGTTTATTTCTGATTGAATGGTCCTTAGATTATTTGTAGAATAATGTTGAATTGAATCACTCTTTTTTGTGTTAGCACAGTTGTCAATTACTGGTTTTAATTTATATTTCACCTGTCTTCATCTATTCCATGGGCCGCTTCTGTTAGTGATTTTATCATTTCATTGTTTTATGACCTTTAACTGTTCTATGGACAGGACTGAATCATCCTGCTCCTGACAATGATCTGATCAATCGATAGTTTACGTTTTATTATTTCCTAGTCTTTCCTCAAGGATAATGAAAAAAATCATCCTTATTTTATTAGCTATCTTAAATTTCATATTTTTGTTTTATTGACCCTTCAACTGTTACGTCAAGAAAAAATGAAAAGCCGTCTTTGTTTTATTATTGTTTTCAAAACTCATTGCTTTAGTTTTGTGATGTCCAACTGTTTTGTGGAGAATAATGAAAAGAATCATCCTTGTTTTATTGCTAATTTTAAAATTTATAGTTTTCATTTTGTGACTTTCAGATGTTAATTAGAGGATAATAAAAAGAATCATCCTCGAACAGATTCTGATTTTATCAGTTCATGCTATTTTTACTTGATCAGCAGACTGAAGATGTAATACAGATTTTAAATGTAGAATAACTGTATAGTTAGAATGTCTTTACACTGGAATGGACAGGGACATAGAAATAAAAAGAGACCAAAAACACATAAATAGGGAAACTAGAGGGAAGAAAAAGGGCGGGAAGGATGTGGAGTGAGTTGCATGCAGTAGTTAATTTACTGGCATGCGTTGGCTGAGTGCTTGTGCTCCTTTGGAAAGTGAAAAAGGGGGGAGGGGGGGGGGGGGGGGGGGTAAAAAGGGTTAAAGGTAAATAGCCTAAGCAAAAGCAGCATTATGCAGAGTGAGTATTATATGCAATCCAATCTGTCTTTGCCATTTGAGGTGAGAGGGTTCTTAAAAGTGAAATTGTTTAAATTGCACACAAGAATAGGGTTCAACCAATCAATTGACAGTTCTTTTGCTTCTGGGTCATCGATAGTGAGCTAGCGGGAAGTGAGAAAGATAGAACAAGGAGGGAGAATAGAAAAAGAATGTGATTAGAACAATAAGTAGGTTCCCCTGGACTGCAAAAACACATGGCCCAGGCGATGAATATGTGAATAGTGAGTTAAACGACAACATAAAACCACATAGGCAGCACCCAATCAGACCACATGCACGAACTACAAGTTCTATTCTGAAACAAACAAATGGAATATAATAATAACATTCAATATATGTTTTTTTAAAAACTGAATACAGTACTAATGTGCTTTGTAGATAACAAGACATCAACAACAACAAAAGCATGTTTAAAAAGACCATGTGCTTAACACTCTAGCGAACAAAGATGAAAGTTCACCTTCACTTCAAAGCAATCTGACTGCTATCAATAATCTCTGTGTGAGGATGCACTTGGAAATCTAGACCTAACACTGTTTGTCTCCTGAACATGAAACCAGTTCATCCCTTTTGACTCAGTCCACTGCACCTACGTTGCACCAATAAGAACCCTGTATTGTTCCGCAACCAATATGTGGGTCTGCATGTCCGGAGGGTGACTAGCGAGACCAAAAAAGAGCATTTTCTCCTGAGCTGGGCCTTGTATCAATGTTTCAACTCACTGGTTACTTTCGGAGTGTTCCAGTCTGCAAATCTGCCAGTTTTGAGTCCGCCAAGTCCAGAATTATAAACTGACTAGCAATCCAATCCATGATAGAATCACTAATGTAGAGCTTTGGGAGAGAACTAAACAAGCTTCAGTGGACCAAGAGGTGAAGAAAAGACGCTGGCGTTGGATAGGACACACATTGAGAAAACCTGACAACAGTATAACTATAATGTTTTTGCATTGGAACCCACAGGGGCATAGGAATAAAGGAATGCCAAAAACACACGTAGCAGGAAGCTGGAGAATGAAGTTAAAAAGATGGGAAGGACATGGAGAGAGCTGCATGCGGTAGCAAAAGATAGAGCGACTTGGCGTGAGTTGGTTGAGGGCTTATGCTCGATTGGGGGCTAGAAAGACAGAAAAAGAATCAACTCCACCAGCCTGTTCAATAGTTTTTAGAGGTACAGGCTTTTCTCCAGCTAATTGAGCAAAAAAAAAAAAAAAAAACGCGCCATCAGATAACAAAGCATTCTTTTTTTGGAACAGCAAAGGAAGAAAAAAAAACACGTTAAAAATGAAAGGACGGATTTAAAAACTGGATTTAACAAATGTGGGGAGCTGTCGTGGTATAGCAGCTAGATGCTGACTTGCCAAACAGAAGGTCATGGGTTTAAATCTGAACGTTGACAGGCTTTTTTGTGGGTGGGGAGGGGTCAGTAATGTCGACCAAGCTTTATATGGGTACTAGGTAAAAGTCCTGGGAAGTAAAGGCGGTTGATGTGATGTTGACCACCATCACCAGCGAGTGTCGATTAATCTATAAAATCTAGGTTTATTCCTATGTGCCCAGTACGCTATATCTGCGGAAAAGAGTTCTTTACTTTTACTATTAACAAGAGCTTGGAGAAAAACATCTACATAAAAGTAAGTATTAAATAATGTAAACAAAATAATCCCTTTTTTTTCTTTCTTTTGGTCGTCTCACTGATATCAGGTTTGTAGCCCAGTATCATAGTTTTCTGTCTTGCGCTTCTGGCAAGAAATAATCACCAACAACTGGTAATGTAGTTTCCCGAATATCATTGTCACGTACGGTACCAACTTGCTCCAATTTTAAAACACCCTGCTATCCCAGTAGAGACAAAGAGACAAATTATAAATACAATATTTATAGCGACTTAGGTTACCAATGCCAGACTTAGACATTGACAAAAGAACACGAAAGAAAACTAACCATCTGTGAGGTGAGATGTTTGAGAATGTATGTGAATAAAACCAGAAGAGATCGAGTGAGAAACGACGTGATAACAAGAACTGTTGAAACAACAGCCATCGTCAATTTTATTGAGAAACAAATAATGATATAGTTTGGCCATCAAATGAGAATGAAACCAACGATATCAGCTGCAAGAGCGTACAACTTGAAAATCAAACACCAAGAGGCAGGGACAGACCGAGAAGAAGATGGATCGAAGGCGGCACTGACACCTTGAAATTGCATAACACCACAGCAGATCAAGGACTAAGCGCGCCCTGGCTCGGCTGCCGATCGTTTGATGAACTGCGACACCTAGCGGCATAAGCAGATATTGACCCCCCAAAAAAAAGTTGACACGGGATTGTCTACTGTTTTGGTCTGCTGTTTGGACATGGCAAAACGGCGATCAATGTCCTGATCAAGCTCTCAACGCTGCTTAGTTTTGAAGACTTTAATAACAATTTAAATCTATAATTAAGCAGGAACGTTGGTTTACTACACGGCCAGCTCCAGATTTATACTGGAGCTGGCCGTGGTTTACTATAAAAGATTATTGCAAGTCTTCTTTTTCATCTTCTTCTTCTCCTTCGATCCTTTTGTCAGAAAACTTATATCAGGCGGCCGGTGGCCTTTATGAAAGCTATCGTGCAATCCATATCCTCTCGTGTACCAGAGTTTTGTCTTCATTATGGTTGGAACAGGCCAGATTGCGTTTCTGTTGTCAGCATACAGTTGACAGT